CGCCGGGGGCGGGGCACCCGGAAGCGCGCGCCGACCCGCGGAGCGGCGGCCGGGGGCGACCGGGCTGGCGCGGCGGGCGCGCTCACCGGCGGTGCTCACAGGTGGGCGACTCCGCCCGGCACGCCCGAGCCCGCGCTGCGGGGTCCGAGACGCAGCCGCGCCCAGAGGAGCCGGTCCTCCTCCCCGGTCCCCGCCTCCGTCGGAGGGCAGGTAACTTCCCCGCCAAGGTCATTCTCCAGGCCCGCCCACGCCCGCGGAGCGCCGGGCTCGGGGTAGGCTGGACGGCGCCCTGCGGGCTGGGGGGGGGGTGGCTCCTGGCATCCCCGGGCGGGTAGGGTGGTTGCAGCGTCCGGGGCGTCGCTGCCTGCACCTGCCAGGGCGAGTTTCCACGGCGCGCAGCCTTGGGGTGGGGACTGCCCGGCCCTTCCCCAAGCCGGCACCGGCAGGTGAACTGGGCCGCCCTAGCTCTGCTGTCCCGGGCCGCGTGGTCGGCTGTCGCCATGGGAACGCCTGGTACCCAGATGTTGATTGCCTGGCTGGGAAGGGGAGGTGCGGATGCTCGGAGCCACAGGAGTCAAGGAGCCCCCCTGTCAGGCCATGTGGAGCCAGAAAAAGCCTGCTGACAACAGGACCCTTCCCCCCTTTCTTTTAATTTTTTATTTTTTATTTTTTATTTTTTTATTGCTCAGGCGTTGGCGTTAATCAGAAGCGAGGATGTGTTTACAGGATGTGAGTTGAGTTCTTGCCGCCTTTACCTTCTGAGAGCTTCTTATGCCTTATGGTGACAGGCGCACATCTTTACACTAAAGGGCAGTATGAAGCCAGTAAAAAAAAAGAAAACCGAAGAACCCGAATTGGAGCCCCTTTGCTGTTGCGAGTACATAGATCGAAATGGGGAAAAGAACCATGTGGCTGCTTGTTTGTGTGATTGTCAGGACCTCGATGAAGGCTGTGACAGGTATGGCTACAGATGCTGACCCCGCTGGTTCTACAAGACGTACCATATATTCTTTCAGAATGCTAGAATTTGCTCTTGCTATCCCAGAGGATCTAAAAATAGAGAATTGTTTTTGATGTCAGGTGTGAGGATTTTATGAAAATGAGATAGGTAGCAGCCCACAGCCATTATGTTCGTGAGGACTTGAACAGCTTTTGTTTTAAAAGATGGTGATAGAGAGAACATGCAGGAAAAGGGAGAGTAGGCGAATTAAATGGATTGAACACAAGTCTGGCCAAACTGCAAGTTTAAATGAACATTCCAGAAAGTTCTTATATTCTCAGTGATCATAGCAGAGTCCACTTAAGGGCTCGTTTTCATCTGGTCACATGGAGCTTTGGAGGCTGAAAGATGGTTCTTCTGCTCTTGGTTAACCCTATGTTTCTGGGGAGAGGCCGCACACCTCCACAGAGAGGGGCTGTTTCTGTGTGAGCAACAAGACTGCCCCAATTCTAATACTGTCTTATCTTTGGCCTTTGCTCTCACCACTATCTCTGTGAACAAAACTGCCAAAAGTTCTTAGCCTCAGTGGAAAACATTTTGTATCAAGCAGCAGTAAGTTGGCTTTAGCCATTTTTCTAAATATATATATTTTCAAATGTCTACTTATGGAAAGCATAATGTGAGAGGAAGACAAGATGTTGGAGACAAGCTCTTCCCAGAAACTGTCCCTTCTGGTTACAAAGTCACTGTAACTGTAGATTGTTCATCCAGCCCAGAAAAAGCTTTGCATGGGGACCACTGCAGTTTCCTGTCAGGCTCGACTCTTAAAGCCCTTAACCTCTTTGTAATTGTTCCTTGTCTTTTTCTACAGTCTTTTTTTTTTTTTTCCAAATAGGTAGCTTTAAATATAGCTTCTTTGGACTTAGTCTAAAATCCATACTGAGAAAATGGAGCACTTCGCCCTAATGAGTGGAGAAAGGATGCTGTTTCCATAATGGCTGTCACTCAGGACTGTGGCTTTTCCATTAACTCTGCTCACTCTTCCCCTCTCCCAACCCTTGAGGCTTGGGGTGCCCCATGAGTTCTCTCCTCTACCTCTACCTTTTTTCCTGGAGACAGGCTTCCCTGTTTCCACTGCCCCTGCTGCTCTGTGACTCTAGGTGATCATCCTCCACTCACTTTAAGGTTTGACCCACCCCAAAAAACCCCCCCCAAAAAAAAAAAAAAAAAAAACCCAAACCAAACCAAAACAAAACAAAAAACAAACCAAAACAACAACAACAACAACAAAAAACTGTCTGCACTACCTTTTCTTTCCTGTCTGTCTTAGTTCTTGTAGGCTGCTGCAACAAAATCCTCCAGAATGGGTAAATTACAAGTGATAGAAGTGGACTTCCTGTGGTTTTGGAGGCGGAGAAATCCAGGCAGAGTGCTGGCAGATTTAGGATCTAATGTGAACCCTCTTCCTCATGGAGAGCATCTTCTTGCTACATCCCCACGTGGCAGAAGGGCCGAATGCCCTGCCTTCCGTGGTCTTCTTTTATGTGGATGGTACCCTGTTAACCTCACACTTCCTAAAAGCCCTACCTCGGAGTAAGATTGCATTGACAGTTAGGTTTGCACTACATAAACTTTGGCCACAAATATTTTGGCCTTATGAATGTACCTCTGGCCCCTCCAAGTAACGCACGTACATACATGTCGGCAAAACACTCACATGCATAAAGTAATAAAAACTAGGGAAGAAATAAACAACAGACTGTGTACTTGTAAAAGGACATCCCCATGGCAGAAATGAGAAATGGGAAAGAAAAAAGTAACGACAGGTCTCATCCCCATGGGGCAAGTGACTATTCTGATTTAAGCCTTAAAGACACCTTTTGATATCCTACCTTCCGGACATGCTGAGCTAGAAGTTGGGCTTCTGAGGGTGTGGCTCACGCTGCAGCTTTCATGGGTCAGAAGTCGTGTGCTCCCTGGGCCATTATTTGGGGTCTTGGCCGTTCCTCCCCCACGGTTTTACTAGGCACTGCCTCATGAGGGTCTCTGCAGTGATCCCATACCTGTGTATGGGCACACGACAGTGCCCTAGTGAGGGCTCTGTGGCCTCAGCCTTGGTGTTCTCCGGGACATTCGTTGACATCTACATGGATACAGCAGAGTCCCCACAGCGCTTGTATTCTGTATTCTGTGGGAACGTATGACGCCACCCAAGCTGTCTACTGATGCCCTTGGGAGTAGAGATCCCTGCAGCCTACATTGTAGCTGGCTTTACAGGAACCACACCCAGGGTTTCTGTGAGACGCTGCACCCGTATAGGGAACAGGACTTGCTGTGGTTCTCGGCAGTGAGCCCTGAGGTTTCATGGGTATTCTGAGCCATTTTTTTCATGGAATTATGCTGCCATTAAGGTCCAAACATTCTAGGCTTAGGATGGGAGCACAACCCCAGGTTCAATGGCTTTAGGGTCATCTTCCCATTGTCTTGATGTGTACCGTATTGATCTCATGATGGTCTCTCACATGCAGGCTGTCATGGTTGTTTCTGTGTAGACGGGCTAAGAAGGCCAGTAACTTCCAGATTGTCAAGTTATGTTCCCCCTTTGATATGTATTTTGTCTTTAAAGCCACTGTATGTGTGTTATGTATGTGTATGTGCACGTGCATGCTCCCAGTGGACAGTGGCTGGCATCAGATGTCTTTCTGAATTGTTTTTCTGTTTTACGCTCTGAAATAGTACCTCTCACTGAACCTACAGATCCTCAGTTGGCCAGACTGGCTGACAAGCAAGCTCCAGGAGTTGTTTTGTCCTCCCCCCCCCCGCAACTCCAGCAGCCTCCCTTTCTAGCACTAGGATTGCGAGCTCATTCTCCCAGGCCACTCTATTTTTATTATGTATGTGCCTGTGTATATATGCGTGTTCCATGGTTTCACATGGAGGCCAGAGGAAAACCTGCCAAAGTTGGTTCTCTCCTATCCTGTGGACCCTGAGGATTGAATTCAGGCCATCAGCATGGTGGCAAGCATCTTTATCTACCGAGTCCTTTTGCTAGCCCCATGTCCAGATTTACACATGGGTGCTGGGGATCCAAACTCAGTGTTCTTGCTGTCACAACAAGGACTTGGCTAACTGAGCCATCGTTCTAGCCCCTAAAGTTGTCATCATCACCATCATCATTTTTCTTGTTTGTATGTGTATTTGTGTGTAGGACAGAGGTGTGTCAGATGACTTACATAAGAGATCCCTACCTTAATTTTCAAGTCAGGGTTTCTGCACTGACTCTGGAGCTCACTGACTGGGTTGGCTGGCTGGCCAGTGAGCTCTGGGGATCCAGTGCCCCCTCTGTAGTTCTGGGGTTACAAAGGCGTGTCCCTGCACCTGCCTTTTTACGTGACTGGTAGGAACTCAATCCTCAAGTCCTCAAGTTATACAGCGAGCACTTTGCCCACCAAGCCATCTTCCCAGCCCCTTCATTTCTTTACTTTCATTTGAGCTTAGAGTTCGAGAGAAGCTGAGAAGCACCTGAACACTTTGATTAGAGATTTCTTCTATCATTATTCAGTCCCCTTGATCTTCAGGCCTACCTTCTAAAAAAACACTGGGACATGAACACAGTTCAACCACCTGTCTCATAATTGGTGTTTTCTTGCTGCATCTGCATGTGGTGAAAAAAATCAGTAGGCTCCTTTGGCCTCTTCTATAAAGGTTCTAATCCTATTTGTGAGGACTCTTCCGTCGTATGTGATCAGATCACCTCTTACAAGACCAGCCTTCTGAAGGTCTCACTGTATTGTTCACTCTGGCCATGAATTCCTCGGCTCAGTAATCCTCTTGCCTCAGGCACTCATGAACTGTGAATGAAGGTATGTGCCACCATGTCCAGCAGCCTCATCTCTTAATACTCATGTGTTGAGGATCTGGTTTTAAAATTGGAACACTCAAATAGCAGCATGCCTAACCGTGCAAAGTCAGCAGACTGTTCTGTTCAGTCACTGGACTTACTTTAGTTTGTTCTTCATTCTTGCTTATGCAGACTCCTGTCTAGGACAGCCTAGTTCATTCCCAGGGCCCAGGACAGGCTTTGAATTGCATCCATTTCTCTATGCTGAAACAGCCCCTTCTTTCTTTGCTAGCTGACCATCAAGGTTAAGTACAGACCACACCTTCTCACTAAGCCCATTTGCTGTCTGTCTCCTGAGCTTAAGAGTTCCTTAGAATACCCTTGCCACTTACTTAATACCTTTTGAATTCTCACTGTCAATATTTTAAAAAATTCGTTTGAGTGTACACTACTCAGGTCTAGACATTTGTAAGGAATATGTGTTTATACCTGTGTATTCAAGAAAGAATGCTGATAGTTAACATTTATAAACATCTTCTTATTTTAAAAAAATGATACCTGAATCTAAAAAGCTTGTGTTTAGGACTGAGGGAATGAGATGTTGCTTGTGGTGTCTTCTCGTTTGTGGTGCTGTTTGACACCCAGGGTCCTGTAGTTTTTAACTCACCAAATCCATGTGAAGCACACTCTTCTGTTCTCTCTCAATAGATGGCTCAGCTGTGAGTCAGTGCGCCCAGAGACTTGCGAGAGACTCACAGACACCATTTCTGATCGCCTCCGAATCCCTTGGCTCAGAGGAGCCAGAAAAGTTAATATTAGCATCGTCCCTCCACTCGTGCTTTTGCCAGTTTTCCTTCACGTGGCTTCCTGGCACTTCCTGCTGGGGGCGGCGGTTCTGACCTCCCTCCCCATGCTGGCGCTTTGGTACTACTACCTCACGCACAGAAGGAAAGAGCAGACGCTCTTCTTCCTGAGCCTTGGACTGTTCTCCCTGGGCTACATGTACTTCGTGTTCCTGCGGGAAGTGGTCCCCAAAGGGCACGTGGGGCCCACCCAGCTGGCTCTTCTCACCGGCGGTTTAGTTCTGATACTCTTAGCCTTGTACCGAGCCAAGAAGAATCCAGGCTACCTCATCAACCCAGCACGCAATGACAAATCCCCAAGCAACAGCCCAATCGAATGCCCAATTCAGAAAGGGCAGGAAAAGACCAAAGGATTCTCTGCGACAGATGCCTCGGGGAGCCTCAACAACCGCACACCGAAGGATGATAGTAAGGGCTCCTCCAGGGTGGGCCTCGACAGCCCTGCCAAAGTCAAGGAAGACTGGTGTGCCAAGTGCCAGCTGGTACGACCCGCCCGGGCATGGCATTGCCGGATATGTGGTATCTGTGTAAGGAGAATGGATCATCATTGTGTCTGGTATGTTGGAAAAATCTGGAAGGTCAGAATTCATGTCCTACCCATATTTGATCTTCCTTTGTGCTGCCCTAAAACATCTCTTTCCCAGTTTTACACCTTGTAGATATTTGTAGGCTGTGAGGATGTTCCCACTTAGTCATCAGGTTTTTGAGGCTCACAGATTTAGTGCCTTCAGTCATTTCCTGAAGATTAGCAGAAACATGTAAGGAGTTGGTTTTTTTTCCTTCCAATTTTCCTCTGATTGATTTAACAAAAAATATTAGGAACTGTGGAGACGACTTGGTTGATAAAATGTTTGCTGTGCAAGCAAGAGGACCTCCATTCTCCCCTCAACACGGCCATCCCATCTAGCTGAATTAGCAATTTGCTGGTTCAGTGAGGACCCTGAATAGAAAATAAGGCGGGGAATGATCGACGAGGACATACACCAACAGCAACTTCTGTTTCCACATCGCATGCTCACCTATATACACACAACACTCACACATACACACGCATGCACACACACAATCAGTACAGGTCTTTTTCTCTGTTACTCTTGGACGGAGAATTCTGAGGATATATTGCTTTATAACCTTAATCACTTTATGCATCAAGGGACTTCCACTCACTGTTGTGGAGTCCAGGACCTATCAGATATCCCGGTATTGGTTATCTGCCAGGAGACTGGCTTTGTTTCGTATCTTCTGGCTGGCTAGTGACAAAATCACGTAAGGCCCATAATATGAAGTGCAGCATATTAAACTCCACCAAGTATCGCTGAGCTGGGGGTAGTGTTAGCACTCAGCTTTGAATGCTGTAGGCAGCAGGTTTGCAATTTTATTGCTCTCAGGGTGGTTCTGGCTGATGGAGTACACTTTAGGTCTGAACAAAAGAGGAAGAGAGTGAGAATGTAGGAAATGCCTGGAGGGTATTCAAATATCCCTAAAGTGCATGGCCCTAGGATGGGGACAGCCCTAGGGACTTATCTTTAGGTATAAGGTAGTTTTTATTTTTATTTTTTTATGACATGCACTTGTCTTTGTAATTTATCCCCATTGTGTTCAGGAGGGTGTCCTGTTATTTCCAAATGCCCATTTTCAGAGTCTGACAGTTTGTCCCACAGGAAACAGGCCACCGAGCATTCTAGGATGCATGTGCAGAAGAGGTGGCCTGTGTGCCTTGCCCTCACAGAGGCCATGACACAGGACCATTGTTTCCCTGACCCACTTCATAATATCTTGTTTTCTATAGTATTAACTGTTTTAGATCTTTTCATTGATCTCTTATATACTAAACACATTTTCAAATTTTGGGAAAGTATTTCTGACTGAACTTTTTAAAGTTTTCATAACTGCTTAATTTCAGCTTTCCTCATACCTGGATAATAGACATCACTTATTAATATTTAGGAACAGGGGCTGCGGGTGTAGCCCAGTGGTAGTGTTTGCCTTACATGTACGATTAACCAGGCTCAATCGTCAGCATGCATAAAAACCCCACAATGCATATGCATTATATGTTTATATGTGCACGGGCTGTATGTATAGGTAGATAGATCTGTTAGCTGGGTTCTGCTTTTGTGCTAGTCCTGGCTTCAGACAACATGATAATGGTTCTGCTTGTTTCCCTAAAACTGAATACTAAAATGACTGTTTCATAACCGAAGTTCCTACTGCCCGTAACTTAAAGGCTTTCTTGTATATCGTGAGTCACACGAGACATTTTCAAATGTGTCTGTTTCCCCGCCCCTTCTGCTGTTTTGAGGATAAATAGCTGCGTTGGAGAATCAAACCATCAAGCATTTATACTTGCCCTTTTGGTCTTCCTGCTCACTTCGGTGTACGGGATATCGCTGACCTTGAACACCATTTGTAGGGACAGAAGCCTCTTCACAGCCCTCTTCTACTGTCCCGGAGTTTATGCTCATTACAGGTAGGTAGCAATGCCATCTGTCCAAGAGGGTCAACCAGGAAGTAATAGATGTTGCCAGACAGGTGGTTATTTGCTCCTGTGTTAGCAGTTCTCAGTCAAAGCATAGGATAGGCTTTGGGGATGGTGGGCATCCCCAAAATTGCTGATAAAACATTGCAGTGGTTCTAGGAGTATTTCTCGGGTAATGTCAGCAGCATCATTGATGGTACACGCCTTTAATCCTAGCACTTGGGGTACAGGGGTAGGTGGATCTCTCTGAGTTCAAGGCCAGCCTGTTGTACAGATCAAATTCCAAGACATCAAGGACTACATACAGAGACCCTGTCTCAAAAAACAAACAAGCAGGCCTTGGCTTTGTCAGGGACTCCACCACGCAGCCCAGAGGGTTCTTTGTGCCTGAGGTCGCAGCATAGTTTTTCTTTTTCTTTTTGAGAAGTGTTTCTATCTTTGTAACCTTTCTTTTCTCTCTAACCTCTCAAGGTTTGCTCTAATTTTTTTTTTTTTTAATTCACCACTCCTGATTACTGTGTTATCTAGGTCAAAATTCCGGAGGTCTCATTAGGTGAGAACCCATTTATAAGCTGTACAAATCTCCACGCAGTGGTCTTAGTGGGATTCTTCTGTGTTGATCTTGCCACTCCCAACCACACACACCAGGGTGCTCTTGCTGCTGCTACCCCCACACAGGGAGGGTGTTCACGCCACTCCCATCCCTACAGGCCAGGGGTGTTCCTGCTGGTCCTACCCCCTTACACACCAAGAGTGCGCTTGCCGCTCCTGCCCCCGTGCACCAAGGGTACTGTTTTTACTCCTGGCCCTGCCCACCAGCGGAGCATCCTGCCTGTACTTTGTGTTCCTTCCCTTAGTGTGCTCCCTGGCCTCTGGTTCGTTTCTCCTCTTTCTTCTCATTCCTTGTTCTCAGAGCCTCTGCGTTTGCTATCAAGGGTCCCTGTGTGGTGTTAGTTCTTCTTAGTCTGTGGCAGAGCTCGCCACCCTGCATCTGGGCATCACAGATACTTTAGATTTAGGATTATTAGCCTTCTTGTGGCGACCTGTAGACATTCACTGTAAAATTCTTGGCCAACATGAAGCTGAAAAAATGTTGTAATGCAAAATGCCCTGTGTGCTTGGGTGGGTTGACTCGACTAGTCCTTCTGTTATTTCTCACCTCACTCCATGCAGTGCTTCCTGTCGCCTCCGCTTTATGGTGAAGTTCTGGATTGTCATCTGCGAGGTCCTGTTTACCTTTACAGATGAAGAGTCTCTGTGTGTTTCTTTCCAGCTAATTCTTCACTTGTGTGTATGTGTGTGTATGTGTGTGTGTGTGTGTGTCTGAATGAGCATAGCCTGATCTTTGATTATTCTAACAGGCAGCCGCTCCCCACAGTTTATAAATGAGCCTGAAAGATGTATTCCTGCCCTGTGTGGTTTGAAATGTTAGGTTCCTATAGATTTTTTCTTTAATTTTAATTTAATTACATGGATTGAATGTATGCCAAGTATGTGTGGCCACTCACAGAGGCCGGAAGGGAGCATCTTATCCCGGGAGCTGGAGCTGCAGGTGGTTATGTGCTAACTCAGTATGGTGCTGGGAACTGCCCTTGGGTCTCCTGGAAGACCTATTGAACTGTTGCTCTAGCCTGGCTCCTTCATGCATAAAGGGCTGTTGATGTTGAGAGTTGTCCTCTGAGTGCTAGGCAGCACTAGATAGCCCTGTTTCTCGATTTCCATCTCCAGCTTCCTAGAGGACACCAACAATGCTTTCTCGGACTCTGCTTCCTCCTGAGTTAGATGCAACCTAGGACTTGCTCCTTCATTCAACAGACACGTGCTGAATACCCTGATGTCTGTGAAGTGTAAGAGAAGATCCTGCTAAGTAACATGCTAGAAAAATATGTACCAGCAGTCCAAAGGAGAATTAAAAAGTCTAATTGGGCCTTGTCATTCTGAGGAAGCTGAGATCTTTTAGTTGGGGTCTGGAGAGGATTCTCAAGTTCTTACTATCGAGTACAAAAATGTTCAGAAAGGCCCCTTTCTCCGCAGCTCGGCTCTGTCCTTCACCTGTGTGTGGTACTCTGTGATCATCACAGCGGGCATGGCCTACATCTTCCTCATCCAGCTAATAAACATCAGCTACAACGTGACGGAGAGGGAAGTGCAGCAGGCCCTTCGCCAGAAGACCGGGCGCCGGCTCCTCTGTGGGCTCATCGTGGACACAGGCCAGTACAACAGGGGCTTCCTGCGCAACTGGCTCCAGTTCTCCACCCTGGGCACACACACTGTCCACAGCCTGGCTGAGGACATTGTCTGAAGTGCCTTCCGAGCAGCTCTGAGGGCCGCTCCTCTGCCAGCATATCACACGGCCATGCAGGACTCATCTTCATTGCCCGCTTCTCAGAGGTTCCGTAGGGCTATGCTCAGGTTTGGAGAGAGGACTGAAGAAAGGGTCATTTTCCTTCTGCTTTCTTAAGGGATTTTTAATAATGAAGCAGTTAGAGCAGAGCCATTTCTTTAGTGTCGCCTTGTTGACTCAGAAACTGGAAGCTGCAAAGAGGGTGTGGATTACTCACCACACCCAGAAGGCGTTTCCGCCCATTTATTTGTATGAGGAAGTTAGTTAGAACCAGGATAGTTCCTAGTCCTTTCAGTTCTTAACAGCCATATGACCCCTCGGTAGAGTCACTTTTCCCAAGTCTCAGGTTCTTCTGTGTGGGGGCTTCTGCCCGGCTACCTCTGGAGCAGCCACGAGGACGACCTGAGGAGGGGTGTAGAAAGCACTCCTGTCCAACTCAAGCCCTCAGGGGTATCAGTATTATTAGGAAATCCCTATGGCTGAAGTAAACTGCTTGTAGATCAAAATGTTGAAGCCAATACTATTAAGACAATCAGTCTGTACAGTCGTGGAAATTCTTTTTAAGTGTTAGAGCTTGTTCTCACAGGTTGGAGAGGACAAGAGTTGAACAATGCTGGCCAGCTCGTCTTGAGAAGGACAGCTGAGGAAAATGACAACTGCTATCTGTGCAGTGTGTAGTGGGCCGAAATTTAGGTGACAAATGTGTATGTGTTAATGTATCACTTTAGATTTATATAATTCTAACAATATTCCCCCTCCTTCCACGCTCTACCTGGCGAGGCACTGGCATATTGATGACAGTGGCTGGAAGGAGAGGAGGCTGCCCTGTGAGAACATTTTCCCTTTTTCCTGGCTGATTAATACCAAGGGCTTGGTTTTTTTTTTTTTTTATTGTTTGTGTATGTCTAGTGCTGTAGGTTTACAGCACTAAATGGGACCATGAGTCTGGCACGAACTCTGCAGGGTGACAGCTTCCCCATCCACATTGCTGCTCATTCACCCTCCCTACACAGCAGTATCTCACTAGGAGAGAAAAACAGGGTAACATACTTTCCAACACTGAACAGAATGCTGCTTTCTAGCTCTTCCCAGGAGCTAAATTGTTCCTTTTTGTGTCTCAGAACTGAAGCTTAGGGAAGAGTGTAGCTTTCTGTAGAATGGGCCATCTTTCTGCCGCCGAGATGGCGATTCCTATGAGGAAAACTCCCTCCGGAAGTCTTTAGCTTTTACACACGCACTGTTTCTTGGATCCCAAAGATCAAAGATACTTTGTGAGGCCTTACATTTACCTTGGCCTTGTAGCTTCACAGAGGGGAAAGAGTGTGTCGTGTTTGCTGCTGGTGTCTGCCGCTCTGTGCCTGCATGTACTCACTGAGAGGAAATGCCCCTGCTGCTTGCAGTTGTCCTGCTCTTCATGACAGGCGCCACCCTTAGACGTGCTGTTAACCAGGGCTCCACCAAAGACAGGTGCCATGTTTATCCAGCTCTGTCCTTGCTTCCCCAGAGATCTATTGTTTAATGAATAATAGACTCCATATTCTACTGGGGTAAGCCAGAGAGCGAGCCTGGGGATGCTCGCTGGCTGCAGTTTCTATGGTGATGCCTGTCTCTGGCCCAGGCTCGAGCATTCATTTGGAATGAAAGTTGGCTGGATACAACTAATTTCTCTCTGTGTGGGTTTTAGGTAAAGGAGATGGTAGTAATGTCAAAGACAGCATATGTGGGCAGAAATTAGTAGTTTTTATGTCTCTTGAATGCAAGGTATGTAGCCATCTCTGAACAGCTGTGCGAGTTTACAGAAAGTCTATAGTCAGCGCTTGCACCTGACACATCTTCAGCAGCAATGCATTTGTGATGTGAAGGTGAACACTGCACCAAGACGCGTCACTGGGAGAATGAGGAAACCACCGTCTTTCTCAGAGCTCACTACTTAAGGGGCATGTGGTTGAGGACACTCAGTTCCCCGCACATGCATGGGGACTCCCTGTTGGCTTTGTGGTTCACTGGAATTAAGCAGCCTAAGTTTCCTTTCTTTTTAGATTTTATTTTTATTTATGTGTGTCTGTGTGAATGGTGTGTGTGTGTTGTGTGTAGTGTGTATATATGAATTGGTGTGTGAATGGTATGTGTATATGAATGGTGTGTGTTGTGTGTGTGTCTGGGTGGATGATGTGTGTGTGTGTGTGTATGTGAATGCTGTATATGTGTCTGTGAATGGTGTGTGTGTGTGTCCATGTCCAGAAGAGCTCACCTGGGGTTACAGGCAGCCATGAGCCAGCTGACATGGGGACTGAGAACTGATCTCAGGTCCTAGAAGAGCAGCTGTGCTAATTGCAGAGTCATCTCTTCAGCCCCACAGCTGAAGTATATGGAGAATTTTGGTGGTTTGCAGAAGGAAGCTCAAAACTGTAAGAAGATCCTTGCTTTGTGGATCTTTCAAGCCTTCTCATTCACCCTTCCTTACACACAAGTATCTCACTAGGAGTGAAAAACAGGGTACATGCACTTTCCAACACTGTACAGAATACTGCTTTCTAGCTCTTCCCCGGATCTAAATTGTTCATTTGTGTCTCAGAACTGAAGCTTAGGGAAGATTGTAGATTTCTGCAGAATGGACCATCTTTCTGCCACTGAGATGGGAGATTCATATGAGGAAAACTCCTTAAAGTGTTTGCTTTTTACACATGTACTGTTTCTGGGATCCCAAAGATCAAAGATAATTTTTGAGACCTTAAATTCGCCTTGCCTTGCTGCTTCACAGAAGGGAAATAGGAAACGTGCACTCAGTTTTGGAAGTGTGTTTCTAGGCGGCAGCAATCCAGGGCTGTCCACAGCAGCCTCCTGTAGGCCCTAGGATATCTCTAGCATATATTCCTAGACTTTTGAGCCTTCTTAGGAACTTGATTGTGGGATTTTATTATAGGCCTTGGTATCCTCCAGACAATAAGAGATTTAACTGGAGTCTTTAACAGGGCAAGGTCTTTGCAAGTGGGCTGTCCCAAACATCCATAGGTAAGCCAGCAGCCCCTTGACTGTGGGAGCAAGTGCTCCCACATGGATTCCAGATAAGCAAGTCCTCTTTCGCTGTCCTCCTTCTGAGCTTCCTGAATCCACCCTGTCCTGGTCCTGACGTTACTACCACACCATTATGTACATTCCCACCAAAGAGGGCCGGTCCTGCTTTTGAAGGAGTCAAGGGAGAAACATTAAGGGTCAAGCCTGGAGGAAAGGAGAAGTCCCTTCACTAGTAGAAGCATTTCTTAGCAACTTGCAAAGTACTGTGTAGGTCACCCTCACTGCCTCATCGGCAGGCTGCTCCGACGCCGCGAAAATGAAGCCTTAAATGTGTTCTGGGGACAGTGCTGTCTGTCTCCTCAGCCACAAAGTTGCTAGGATATTGCAAATCTCTGCTCTGCAAGTGGCGTTTTCCTTTGGTGAATGCGCTGTCATCCACTGTACCATCTGCCTAGAAGGAAGACTGCTGTAAACTTTCTCTTATGCAATAGTCCTTGGTACTTCTAACATTTTTAACAAGAGAAAACTTTGTATACTAGAACCTTCCACTGCCAGAAAAACACAATGCCAGTAAGAGTCTGTGTAATACCGATATCTGCCTGACAGACTTCCTTTGGGTAGGACATCAGCTTTTTATCATAGAGCTCAACTGACAGAAGCAAAAAGCTGTAGATTCACAGCTTTGACCATAGAGCTTCAAAGTAATGCTTTGTATACTCACGCATCTCTTTAAACTAGCGAAGTGGGTTCCTGTGACGTCACTTCCCATTAGCCATATTTTGGTACCCTGCCTCTCGAAAAGGAGTCTTCTCAGACAAGCAGTGCACGTGACTTGAGCTGGAGGTGCCTGCTTGGAGCATGGTTTGCTCAGCAGTTGGCAAGTGGGCAAGAATGAAAACTACGCTAACTACACTGAACACCAAATGAAACTCGGTTTGTTCTTGTGTTTGCTGAGATTCATGTACCCGTTCTGAAGAAGTGGCCAAACGGAGTCCTGATTCCGTGGGCGGCCATCTGCACCTGACCTGGCTTAAGTGTTTCGCTGCAGGAACATCCAGCTGGATGGCAAGCACAGCACATGACTCTCTCCACGTGGTGCTTGGGATTCTTCAGTCCTGGAGCCCTCCTGGTGGCACTTTTCACCTTTAAAAGTTTATTATTTAGAAGGCAAAGCTTTAAAGCCAATTAGTCTGTTCTAATGATACAAATGAAATTTTGAGTTTCTTCAGGCAAAGCTACTGACAAGATGCTATATAAGAGCGGCGAGATCATGCATAATGCCAGGGTCTAGGTGATTAGATGGTTGGCTAGGTCTTTGGGTCCTTTTTTTTTGATCTAATTTCTGGGTCTGATGTTCGACTAAGTGAAACCCAGGAATGAGTTTAATAGTAAGTTCAATGTTTAATATGGATGACCCAACAACATGAAGTGGGATTCCTCAAGCCAAGCTGGAGGCCGAGGGGTGGACACTGCACCCTTTTTGTACCTGTATCTTACCACCTCAGACTCAGACAAGGACTTTCAAATGGAGGTTTTACAAACTACTGCCGTTTGTGTCCCGTGAGACATTGTTTAAAGGAAAATAAAAGTGCTTTCTTCTACGGAAACAGCGATTTGTGGTGTGTCCTGAAAGTGTTTTCCCTGAAGGAAACCCTGTGTTGTAAGTTCTGGGGCCTCCTGACTAGCTGGCCCCCATCCCATGCTGACCCTAAACTCATCTCCGTCTTTTCCTCCCTGGTTTTGTAGGTCAGGTACTGTTTACTCAGGCGCTAGTTAGTGATGTTTCAGGTCATGGCCCATCAAGAGTTTGCCTAGGTGGCCTAGTCAACATAAAAATGTGTCCCAATGAAGCAATTTCTGTATGTTTGGGATGAAGCAAAGATAAAGTTTAAGAGAGAAAACAAATTTTATATGACTGACTTAGGACATGTTAACTTAAGGAATTCACCCTTATCTCTAGGCTTGGCATTAACATTTGTGTGTGGTTTTGATGTTTTTTTGTGTGTGTGTTAATTTCCAATATTTCATAAGTGAGCAATAATTAAGTATAAACTGTAGTTTAAACTGAGTGAGATTAAATATAAATTTAGTCCCATCTTTCTTGTGGCCATTGGTCTTCAAAACACTTGTGTTTTTAGGTGACAGTCATATGATATTAACGAAAAATGTGTGTGTGTGGGGCTGTAGTTTCTTTTGGTTCTGGCATTTTGTTGTCTTCAGCCCCTCACTGCACGTCTTTCATGAGAAAAGGGCCAGAGCCACTTTGCACAGGGTGCAGCCCGGGCAGCTTAAGAGCTGTGCTGGATCAAGCACATGCACTCAGCTGTATTTCACCAATTCAGAAGTTCTGGGCTACCAGGCTCTTTCTCATCTTACTGTGTGCATTCGTGGACTATTTGACTTTGTCACAATAAAGATATGTTTTATAATGGAAAAAATTCCTAGCAGATGATTCTGTGTAAAAAAGTTCACAGAAGGGAACATTTGATAAGTCTTTATAGAATCCTAAATATTAGAACATTCTTTGAATTCAGTATAAGTTGCCAGGCCAAGCAGACAGAGCAGATGGATTATGTAGAAGCTGCAGTTGGGAGTATGGCTAGGCATTTTGATGAGGGGCTGGCTGGTTCTTGCTGGAGCTGTTCTTAGCTGTTGGCTTCTTCATACTTGTCAAGGTGCTTGGGTGTCCTAGCTGCTTGGAAGTCAGGGTAAACCCCTGCACCTGGCTGCAGCTCTGTAGAGAACCCTTTAATCGTGCTTTGCCAGTGGGTGGAATAGGGCCTCTTGGACACCTGTCACTCATCCTGTGGTCAAGAACACTGGCCAGTCATGCTCTTTTTCCATTCTCACTGCTTTCTGTTTCTGTCCAACGTTACATTTACAAGCAGCCCATAGGAAGCGATAAGGACACACTTGCTTTCACAAGTCCAGGCAGGCAAACACTCATTCTTTTAAAAGTTTATTATGCTAAAAATATATCTAATACACTCAACGGTTGTGCTCTATACTGCTTTCGAGTGACCCCACTATGAGACATTACAACAGATGCCTAACAAGCTAGGAAAGATCAAGATGGAAAAATAAATTCCCAAGATAATTCTTCTGGTTTATGACACATCTAGAGAGTAAACGAGGCTCAGGTAAGTGTGTGGGTGGAGACAACACATCCCGTCACCAAAGACTTCTTTGGAGAACAAGTAGGTAGCTACTGGTACGCAGCCATCACAATGGTGCTAGCGTCCGGAAGTCTGGAAGGATTTCAGTGACCTTCCGGCGGAGCTGGTCTCGCCGTTCTTCCTTTACTCGTTCTTCTTTGGAAAATTTTACAAATGCCTTCCATGTCTGGAGTGTGGCACTGAGAATCTTCCTTTAAGGAGAAAAAGGGAAGAGGTAGAAGTCAATGGGAATTTTGACAGCAAACAATGCTATTAAAACAACAACAACAACAAAATGGGAATGACTGTGGTAAGCTTGTACAGAGACTCCACTGCTGACAGTATTGGCTTTGAGACTCTTTAGCTGATCTGGTCACAGTCTGTATACTTAACAACCAGGACCAGGAATACTGAGGGGCTTGGGCAGATGCTTTCAAGGTAAAGACCCTGACTCTATTTGGAAGAGCTCAGGGTACCCAGGCTGCAGCACTTACATAGTTTAAAACCTAATGGTTAGCACCTGTCCAGCTACCACAGAATCTCATCCAGAATTCAGAATTTCATCTAGAATTTCAGTTGAAAAAAATATGCTAATGCCAAGTGTGGAAAGATGGTGCTGGGGGGTCGCGCGTTGAAATGGAGTGCTGTGGGAAGCATGCCTGCCTCTTGAGGACTGCCCAGTGCCTACACCAGCTGTGCACTGGTGATGCTGAGGGCAGGCCCAATAGTCTCTGCCCAGTTAGGCAGCTAGCCTTTCAGAGTCTGCTGTGGGAAGAGACAGTGATGGAGAAACACATGCTGCCCTGACTCGGGGTGAGGAACATCTGAGGTGTTGAAAGGCATTACACTGAACTGAAATGGCTACTCCTTAAGAGGACAGGCCTTGCATAAAGGTCAGGAGTCAGCTGTAGCTAAGCATGTGTGGGGCACATTATAGAGAACACAAGCACAGGGTTGCCAAGGCTATTTGTAAAACGAGGGGCACTGGTGATACTTGTTCTGGCCTCATAGCCAGCAAATGAGGCCTTGAATGCACCTTAGTCATCACTAATTTTATGGCTGTTGGTTGACTGATATTTTGGATGATTTGGGTGAAAACATTACTTTAAAAAATGAGAGGGCGGGCTGGATGATGGCTCAGTGGTTAAAAGCTCTGTCTGTTTTTCCAGAGGTCCTGAGTTCAGTTCCCAGCAACCACGTGGTGGCTCACAACCATCAATACCCTCTACTGCCCCCTTCTGGCATGCAGGTGTACATGCAGGTAGAGCCTTCAAAGTAAATAAATAAAATTAAAAAAAAAAAAAAAAAAAAAAAAAGAGGGCCCCATTGAGCAGAACTGCTTCACTGTGTTCAACATCTATCCACTCAGCCCACCCCTGGTCGTCTCCAGGGCCCACTCTCAGGATGACCTTCCCTCATCCTCCTGCTATTTATAGCTCCTCTCCCCTCACTATACTCCAGGCTTGCCCATGCCTGTATTTTGGCTCTTCCTCTTGTACAGCTCTGAAACCTCAGTTCCATCTAGGGAGATAAGCAGAAATGGATAGACACACTGAGGCAAAGCTGCTCAGTGGGTAAAGTCTGAGCAGAGCTTAACGATGTGAAGGACTGAGACTGTTTGTTTACCTGAAGCTGAAGTGAGCTTTGTGCCTCTGAGGGGCAGAATAGGAGGCCAGTGGGGCAGAGATAGAGGAACCAGGAACAAAGTGGGAAAGAGACAAAGTCACAGCAGGGTTCTACACTGAGCAGATGGACTTCCTTTCTTGTTGATCGCATAGTTTTCTATTCTGACGTCACACTTCGCACCCTGAAAAGGCTTGGTATTATACTGTGTAGCTTACAAATGACAGTGACTTAGGAAAATGAGAAGGGAGATATGTATCAAGAGCAAGCTGATGTAGAGCAGGGAAACCCAGTGCTGAGCGAGTCCAGTGAGCTGCATGCTGTGTGCAGGGAGTATGTGTTCCCTTGTCAGAAAATGAAATCATGGTATCGCTCCCCCAGGGTCATTACAGTGATCAGAAGACACAGTCTGTGTGAAAGCCCTCAGGCTGAGAAAGACAGACAACTGAGGCAGATAAAAGGCAATAGGAGGCTGAATGCATATTCACAAGAGCATGAAACTCGGAGCATACTAGCTGTGAACACATTGCTGTTTCCTTGCTCAGTGTTCACAACAGCCCCGAAAGCAAATTCTGTTCTTATTCACTTTTTTTTTTTTTAAACTCTAAGGGCTTTCTTTTATTACATTTATTTATTTATCTAGTTATTTATTTATTTGTGTATGTGTGTGTTGTGTATGTCTGTGGGTGTGCACATTGCCACAGTGTAAGCATGGAGGTTAGAGGGCCCACACTGGTCTGGAGTCATCAGGCTTGGCGGCAGGCACTTTATCCACTGGGCCATTTCACCAGTCCTGTGACAGGAGGTTCAAAAGGTTATAAATCCAGAGTCAGTCACCTAGAGTCCTCACCTTCCTCTAAAGCAGATGCATTTTATTCAAAGGTAAACCCCTCGAATACTGTCACTTACTGCAGAGTTATTTCTATTTAGACCAAACTATAATACACTTGTTAGTCTACTCCCAGACCATTGATTTCTAACTACAAATTAAGAATAAACAGTTTTTGCTAGGAGCAGGCATCCTGGCATAACAAGATGTGCAAGAGATGTGCATACACAAAGTGAAAACGAAACATCCAAAAGTGACTGTGGGGCAGGGCGGAGAGGGTGACTCCCTACCTCACAAGCCCCCACCCCTCAGGGTTGTCATAGCACATGCCCACTACATATTCGCTTCCCAGGAGTGACGCTTGCTCCTAGCAACTCTCAGAACATTTCTGTACAGATGCTTAGGGAAGTTCTCAAGTTCGAATAAGCACACACTCGCATATTTGTATGGATTACATTAGTTCTCAGCAACAGGCCTAATTTTATTTAAACATTAATAACAGGTCCTCCGTACACAGAATTCAAACAAGGAAAAGCCGCACCGGAGTGTTGTGGGCTGCATGCTCAGGAGAGGAGCAGGATGTGTTCATGGAACACACCGTAAGATTCCTTTACCTGTGGAGGAATGTGTGACTGGAGAGGGGCCACTGGACAGTCATGTTCCACTCTGACCTCAGCTGTGGTGACATGGTGTCTAGTAATTACTGTTTAGATGGTTTCAGCACTTAAATTTTTGTGCTATATTTCACAATGTTTAAAAAGTCAAACTTAGAAAACTAAAATTCTGTTAGGAGTACTTGCTGCTTTTGCAGAGAAACCTGAGTTTGGTTTCTAACACCCACATTGTGGCTCATAACCACCTCTAGCTCCAGTTCTAGGGGATCCTATGCCATCTTCTGACTTACATGGGCACCAGGCATGCAAGTAGAATATATATATTTGCACAGATTCATTCTCTCTCTCTCTCTCTCTCTCTCACACACACACACACACAAAAAAAAACTCTCAAAAATAAAACTGATTAATAAGGAACATATTTGCTGAGATATCTTCCATAATCTCACATCTGGTCCCTGCCAGCCCCTATGAGGTGGACAGGACAGGCTTCCTCATCGTTTTAAGGACAGTTTCCTGTGCTGCTCTCATCCATGTAAATTGGGGGAACTGGGATTCCCACCTGACTCTGGAGGTCCCAGCAATCCCAGCCTGCATCTCAACTTTTCACAGCGCAGCAGGAGAATATATTACAGGTACCTGAGGAGTAGCGAGTTTCTTGAGCGTGCCCAGCCTTACCTGTCACAGTGTTCTCCTGCAGTCTCAAGCTTTCTCTGAGACTCAGTTCTCAGCTCCCTGACCAAGGTCAACCAGGCCCTGAAAACCTTCTTCAGTAGTAAGTGGGTGAAGAGTTTTCTGACTTCTTTCTCCAGATCATTGATATACTAGTGGATGAAGACATGGGTAGAAATAAGACAAGTGTCAGTAGACAAGTTGAGTAAGTAAAAGAACAAATGAGAGATAACCAAACAAACTACAAAGCAAAATAACAAAGGATGTAAAAGGCTGAGAGGATAACAAGGCAGCCAAGACAATAATATCCTCTGTAATTTACTGTTAACAATAACAGTAATTCAGAAACAGAAACAGGTATATGACTGACAGAGGAAGTTTCTAAAATCTCTCAAGTACTGTGGCAAAAAACAAAACAAAACAAAACAACAATCTAAGAAACAAAAGCTGAAGTAAGGATTCATGACAACATGCACACTCTTACGGGAAAGTGATGTGTGCTGGAGACTTCTTACTAACCAATGTTGACAGCATTTCAATAAGGAACGAACTAGATTCACGGTTCTATGTGCTTGAAAAACCAAAGGAAGAGTTGAGCAAGGAGAGGTATTTATTTAGTTCTGATTTTCTGAGGGGTCTCACTATATACTCTGCTCTAGCCTTGAATTCATGGCACTCTTTTTGCCTCACCTTCCCAAGTGCTGAAGTCATAGGCATGTGTCATCATGCATGGCTCTGGGAGATGCATTTAAAGTACTTTTCCTGTGGCCTTACCTGGAGCCAGCTTTGGAAGACTTTTCTACACAATAGTTGGGAATAAAACTGATCAGCCTTGGCTGTCTTCATAGCCAGACTTTCCTGGCTATACTGGAACCAGCTGAGCAGGCATTTTCTTTGTAGAGCCAAAGAGTGATGTTCTTCTGCTATCTGGGAAAAAAAAATTAATGAAAAGTAGAACTTACTCCTTAAATTTTAAATCACTTAAACATACTTAGCTAGGGAACTGATACTACACAGGAGGCATAGATAGTTACTGGACAAGAATAATCTTGAGTTGCCTGTGTCCTAAAAGAGCACCAACCCTTCCTGTTCTGTGGAGGTCATGGATTCTTTCAGGGCTGGCTGAGTATGGAAAAGGAATAAGCAGCTTCCAAGCCATCACTTCATGTCTACTAACCTTTGGACTGGGTGGCTGGCAGTGCTCTCAGTTTGCTTTCCTGGAACTTGGACAGCAATTCTATAACGGACTGCTCTTTATTATGTACTTAACCACTGTCTAATTGAGGAAATGCCAATACTTTCAATTAGTTTTATAGAATGAACTGTCACCAGGTTTAAAACTTAGACATTACCAATAAACCACAAAACCATTGATACAAAAATAACATGATGAATATTTTAATGTCTTACCAATTAAAGTCACTGAGAATATCATCCCAAATAAATACAACTCAGTTTTTATGTATGAAAAAGAGACTTACATTCCTTCAACAGACAGGAGAAAAGACCCATCTTGTGGCAGTCCTTTCTAGACAGTGGCACACTTCCCTAGGTCTCATCTAGCCACCTAGCACTGTGAACATAAGGGCATCCAAACAGATCTCCTGATGGCCGTAGTCACTGGCCAGAAAGGCCACACAGGGGGCTCTGTGACACATCCAAACCTGACAGCTAAAGGCAGAAAACATTCCATCTGTTTTGAATTTCTTTACCATTCACCTGAATGCCCTGTTCTATGTAGGATAAATGTGTTAGGGGAATTTGAGACATTTCACTGGTGTTAGATTTCAAGGATCCCTGTGGCAGAGCAGACTGCTGCTCTCTATAACAGCATTATGTACTCTTTGCAATATGATTTCACAGCACCACCCAATGGAGTAGATGGAGCCTCATTCCTTCTTAATGAGCTTGAGCTTGGTCTTATGATTGCTCTGCTCAGTGAACTATTAGTGGGCGGTGTTAGGTAGCTAGTTAGATTAGCAGCCTGGAGGACACTGGGAATGAACCACCACCTCAATGAACAGCTTGTGAAACCAAGGCCTAGAGTTAAATGGGGCTGATTATCACTCAAAAGAATGGGATCTGAATATGTCTTCAGCCCCAGGAAGAGACTCGGCATTCCAAATGGCCAGAATGTCACTAAAAACAAACAAACAAACAAACAAACAAACAAACAAACATGTATGTTGGTGCCCACAGAGGCTAGAAGAAGGTCTTAGGTTCCATAGAGCCTGAAGAAACAGCCAGTTGAGAGCCACCCAAGGGTGCTAGGAAGTGAACTCTGGTTCTTTGCAAAAGCAGCAAGCACTCAACAATGAGCTACCTCTCTGGACCTGACAGCTATCTTCTAAACCTCAGAGATTACTACCTACTTGAAGGCTTGCTAATAAAGAACAAAGATATACACCACTGCTTTCTCTTAGCTGTGAAGACTTAGCTGAGTCATCCAACTGGGTGTGTCACTCAGCTGGACAGACCAAGTCCCTGAGAAAAATCTGCTTTTTCTAGACATGTTAGAAATAGAATGCTTGCCTTAAAAATGTGAAGTGGGAGAGTGTGGTCTCTTTGGTCACTGTGCACTGTCACCTCTTGGGCGTTTCTTCTACTTTATTCTGCAATAAACTTTTACCAATTTTCTACTCTACACTCTGTTTTGATGGCGCTCACAGGGACCTGAGAGACAAGGACTCTAGAGCAAGGTCCTGGTGATGGACAGGAGAATTTGACAACTGGGCTGACAGAATTTGGCTTGGTATATATGCTAGTAAATGGCAGGGTGGAAAGTTCCACCTGAGCAGCCCTGGAACCAGGGAGGAGGGCTGGGGAGAGACTGGGACCAAAGCTTCAGCTGGCCTGCAGACTCTTGAGAGATGAGCACTAAGTTGCAATGCGCTGAGCTTGGGGGCTGTCTGTAGACTTTATCGTAGCAGAGTTCCAGCTCACTTACTGCCTTTTCTGTTGGAAAGCATGCTAAAATTGAAAGTCACCTCTATTCCTCCTACAGTGGTGATCTCTAATAAAATCATTCTAGTTTCCAAAACCTGTTAAATTACAAGTATTTAGATAACCAAACCTAAACTCTTATTCAAAACAGAGAAATACATATACTCAAACCAATTATCTTTTTTTGCTAATCACGAAGTCTGCCCCACCCTACAGCCTGACTGGGTGTTCCTGCTATCAGAGAAAGGCCTACTTTCTATGTGGGGGATGATATCATGACGGTGTACCTCAATGTTTTGCTTGCTTTGCATTCTCAGTTTCTTCCAGGGCTCCAGGCCTTTTTTCTTTAACAAGACCTTTTCATAGTGATCTTTGGCTACTGCTTCCAACTCTTGATTTCTTTTAATTCTCTTCTGTTTCTCTAGTTCTTTCTGGGGAGGAGGAAAAAAGAAACAAAAATTCCATTATTACAAAACCTGAAAAATTTCATTTAAACGAAAGGCTAACAAATTTAACATCTATCCACTAAATAGTGTGCCAATAATTATAATAAAATTCTGGAATTTTTTTAAAAAGGACTTTGCTAAAGGGTCAGGTAAAGTTGGTCACAAGCCCTACATCAATCAGAGCTATGTATTCTTGGGTTTATTCAGTATTGTTCAGAGAAATGAGCTACCACTCTCCTCATTACTAAAAAGTCAAAACACGTAGTCAAGAGAGAAATCGGGAAGCTTTCCTTATTACAGAAAAGCTAGCAATGCAAACCTTCACTAGAATTATGATTTAGAGCCTTGTATATAAATAATAATGGTCACGTGACAAGAAACTCCACCCAAAGGCTTGAAGAATATTCTTACCACTGAGTTGTTTTTCTTTCTAAGTGAACAATAAGTCCAGATGCAAACTGAAAGTATTTATCATCATCCAGAAGCCTCTGTCTTGCCTGAGCCAAAAGACTGACTGTCCCTGCTGGTTCCCTGAGAAAAAAGACACCTGTGCTCCCCACAGAAGACATGCAACATGAGCGATGTTCCCAAGAAAGATGACAGAAACTTAACGGTCTATTGTACAGATGCCATTATCTATTTCTTTACTGTCTTTTAATAAAAGCAGTCTGTAGTAAAGGTAGGAGAGAAAAGTCTACTCAAATATAGTCAGTGGCAGCAAGACACAGCTTTAAAAGCAGATTGCAAACTGCCCCTACCTGTGGGGCAGACATGCCACATACAGGTTCCTTTTTTATTCTCTAATTTCATGTCATGAAAAGGGCAGAGGTGACCCTGTTGATTCAGCAAGCTACTTTGATTTGTGCCTGCATCTTCTGTGAGGAGAGAGAGAGAGAAAGAGAGACAGAATTTTCCAATGTGATTACCTATCTACCCATCTTTATTCAAGTTCCTGAAAATGAAATGTCCTCATTCTTTAGAGAATTCTATCAAAATAACCTTTATAATCTATTTCAGATACTTGAGCTCCTTCTTGAATGGGATGACAAACATGAAAACTGTAGATAAGCATTTCTTCATGAGTAGAAAGAATAAAGGGGGAAACAGAAATGGGTTGTTTCCACACGCAGTGAATTATCCCTGCAGCAATGGCAGCTTGCAGACAGATGTAAGAGCCTGAGTTCCACCCTTTGGAGAAGCACTTGGGCTCAGTCTAAAGAACCTGCTTGCATGTACCCACAACTGATTTATTTTCTACTTTCCTGTACAGGAAGTGAATGGCAGCTGTATCCACTCTGCTGAGCTGTTGGTGTGGTATGATTCTGTTTTGAAAATACATTTATATTGGGGATCTACATAGTTGGGTTTCAAAGAGCACATAGTTCCCTCAGGTTAAAAAGTGATATTAAATATGGGTTTATCTTCTGATTTAAATTATATTTTGCATAATTACAAATGACATACAAAACCAATGTCTTAGCCACTATGTCTCAAGAGAAAGGTCAAGGGTTACAAGTATGTTAGGGGTAGTAAAGGGCATTCAACACAGTTCTAACACTAATTTTTCCTTCACTGCTGGTTCATGGAAATTAAAATAGATAATGCTGGTAAATGTCAACTTAAATAAAAGCAAATTAAACCAAAAGCAACCGACACCAACAAAAATCCCCTTTGATCCAAGGAACCCCAATGTATACTCTATTCCTCACCAAGTCTGAACCCACTGGAAAGTGGCTCCTTTCCTAGGTCACCACAGAAAGCACTCTTGTCCAGGTCATGAATGATGCCCATGTTTGCAGATTAGAGTCACTTGTCTTCTTCAGCACTGGGCTCGGTCGCATTGCTCTGCGTCTACCACCACTCCTCCCTAACACAAACACTCCTCTCACTGTTCTTCTCTCAGGTTCTCCTGGTTCTCCCAGATCTTCATCCTCTGGAAAAATAGTCACACATCTTAGGCTTTGGCCTTGCACTGTCATCTCTGTTCACCCCTTTTCCCCAGGGTTGATTCTAGTCACTTCCAGAGCACTAAAGACATTGGCATATTTGAAACTTCTAGTTTCCATATGCTGATCTTGATGTGCAAGCTTCTCCATGCACGTCATAACAGGCATCTGGCATATATATGTGTGTCCTGTGGGGCCTTTGTACCCAGTAGCTCAAATACCATCTGCTCAGAAAGGTGTTCCCATCTTTGCTTCCTCCATTATCCTCTCCTGCCTTTTCTTTATATGTTGATCACCAGTTTTTCCAAACTAACATAGGTGGCTTCGAAAGACAGGGACGCTGTCTGTCTTCATTGCTCTGTTCTAACATCCACAGCAAAGACTAGCACATAGGTAGGTATTTCACAGGTATTTACCCCAAAAGCTAAAATATGTTTACTAAACATGGAAGATGTGATTTTCTCTGGTAAAATTATCTTTTTCAATTTCCCAGTAGTTAAAAGTATATTTATAAGCTGGGTGTTGTGGCACACTCCATTAATCCCAGCATTTGGGAGGTAAAGGCAGGTGGATCTTTTTGAGTTCAAACCTAGCCTGATCTACAAAGTGGGTTCCAATTCATCAAAAAACCAAAGCCTCCCTCCCAAAGCATATTTATATGGCCATAATACAATAACTTGATAAGTAGTAGGAGAAAATATGCACCCAACAAAAAAACAATGGGACTTTAAGGACAGGTTTTTGTTTTTTCGAGACAGGGTTTCTTTGTGTAGCCTTCCTGTCCTGGACTCACTTTGTAGCCTAAACTGGCCTTAGAGATCCACCTGCCTCTGCCTCTCAGCGTGCTGGGATTACAGGTGTACACCACTATGCCCAGCTTAAGAAGGTTTTTATTTTTAGGTCACGTGAGGCCTGTGAATGGGACTCTTAAGGCTGCATTTGGTGTGCTTTCCTGTCAGGGTCACAGGGATGTGATGCCCAACAATCATGTGGTGAGAGATGCCACGCCCTTCCCGTCTTCCTCCTTCCTGAATAGAGGGCCATTCTATCACGGTCTTTTCTCTGAAGACTTCCTTTGTCTTAAAACTTATATTACATGTTGTCTTGATCAGTCTTGTCAACTTAACACTAGCTAGAGTTTCTGGGAGTAAGAAAATGCCTCCATTAGGTTGTAGACAAATCAGTGGGGCATTGTTTTGATTGGATGTGAGAGGGCCCAGCTCACTGTGGGAATTGCCACGACGCCTGGGTATGGAGTCGTGGTGGTATATAAGAAAGCATGCTGAGCGAGCCATGGGGAGCAAGCCAGTAAGCAGCAGAACTCCACTGTCTCAGCTTCAGTTCCTGCTTTGGCTTCCCTAATAATGATCTGAAGCCATGAGTCAAACTCTTCTTCCCCAAGCTACTTGTGGACGTGTTGTTTATCACAGCAATAGAAAACCAAGACACATGTCCTTCTCCACACACAGAACTCAGCATATCTTATATGTTGTATTCTGAGAAATATAGTGATTGTCCCTGAGACAATCTGTCAGCAATAGTAGGGTTATTCTTCTATCTGCTTAGAAAATATAGTACTTCTACATAACAGTCTGCTGATAAATTCAGTGAGCAAAAACCTGCCAACTAGAAGTTAAACCAGATTCTCCTCAAAGCTGTCCAGCCACATTCAGCTGACAAAGTCCTAGCAAGCACTGGCTCAGCAGTGCCGCTGGGTCTCTGCCATCAATGGAAATAACATTACTATGGCCCTAGAGGGTGTGTATGTGGGTCAGCTATATGAAATCTACAAGGGAGCCAGGAACTGCCTGTAGAGAACATGATGCCTCAAAAGCAGTAAGAGCACCTGACAAAGAGTGTGCAAGCACGCCGTGCACAGCATGTTCACAGAGAAGGAAAAGGAGACAACTGACATGTACACTTTAGAGCTGAAATCACTCAAGGAAGGCTCAGTCACAGCCAGGCTGCAAATGCACTGATCTCAAATTTAGAAGGTTACAGACTGAATGGAAACTGGTCTGTGTAAAAGGCTTTTTGTCTGTTGCTATGGGCTGGCATTTCTAAAAAGGAAAGGTTTGGGCTTGGTATAGTGAGATAAAACATTCTCCTGGTTAGTAATTTTTCTTTATTATCATTTTTGGTTTCTTCAAGCATTTTGCTTCCAATAAGAAAAAAAGCTGGACAGAAATGAGAACTGATGTCTTTTTGTGAACTGATCTGAGAGACATAATCATCTCCCACACTGGAGAGACAGCACCATTAGGAAGGCACAGGAGCATTTGATTACCAGGAAAGGCAGAAACTATAAAATGCTGAGCTGATAAGGTAGAAATTTTGGTGAAATGCTTGGTGTGTGTATGTGTAGGTGGTGGTCAAAGTGTACCACTGTGAGAAGGTGGTCTCACTCTTCTATAGACTTTTCTTTTATGAGCCTCAATATGTTTCCACAGAGATGTTAGGGAGACTCAAGAGGCAGTTTCCTGAATGATCTGTCTGTCTAGGGGAAAGGAGTGACAGCTCAAACTGCCCAGAACATTGTTCTTCCAGAAAATGAAGGCTCTCTCTGCTGGTACCTCCTGAGTGAGAGCAGAGGGACTGGAGCCCACACTGTGGCTAGGGAGGAAACTTTGGGAAGTCTGCCAGATGTGACCCCTCCCCACCAACCAGCTGCTGCAGAGAAGGGCTCATAGTCACAAAGTTAGGAGAGAAGGGAGGTGCATCAACAGTCCAACCTCTACAGCAGAAACTCCAAAGCCAGAGCTGCGCACGCCCAAGACTGAAATGTAATCAGAGTGGAGAAAGCTCCCCTCCTCCCCTAGCCCCACCTCATCACCTACTTACAAATACTGTGTTACCAAACAGGAGTAACTGGAAAGGACATGGCCTCTGGGGACCAGCACGTGGTGAAGACCCAAAGCCAAAGTGACACCGTGACACCTCTGGTGTCCATAGCAACAACAAAAGCCAATAGTAGTAACCACAGCAACAATAAATATCAAACAAAACCCAATTCCTGCCTAGATTAACACAAATCTCCACACTAATGCCCTAAACACTTAAATTTTGACCAGTTAAATTTTAAATACTGTACGACAATGTTAGAAACTCCAGTGGAAAAGGTAGACACCACTCAGTATCAGATAGTAACTACAGTAGACACAAAAACCATAAGGTTCAAAACAGAAGTGCTAGACATTAAAAACATGGTGACAGAAATGAAGAGGGCCTTCAACGTACTTATTAGTAAGTGAAATAGGTGAAGAAAGAACAAGGCAACTTGAAAATATGAACAAGGAAGACATAGTAACTGTAAAGAAAGAAGAGAGTGAATCATCTGAGAAACCTAACAGTGGCATGAAACATAACAGTGGTACATCTGAGAAACGTAACAGTGGCATGACTGGGGACCCAGAAGAATGAAAAGAAGAGGCAGCTAAAATATTTTAAGAACAATGGGTAAAAATATTTTTAAAATTTGTGATAAAACACAGAGCTATATATCCAAGAAGCTTAAATCTACTAAGCAAGGCGAGCAACCTAACAAACCAACCATTATCTAGAAATCATATATTCAAGAGGGTTAAAATGAGACACAGTCTTAGAGACAGGAGAGGAAGGAAAGAAATTCACCAACTGTTACAGACTCAAGTCCTTATGTTGAAACCCTAACTCTAATGTAGCAGTAAGTGGATCTGTGTAAGGAGCAGTGAAGAGTGGATAACCCAATCAGACTGAGTCCTTGCACATTATTCCAGAACTTTCTACCCTCTTCCTCCCCATGAATCTATGCCAAAGAAAAGGTCCTGTAAGGACACGTGAAACTGAGGCTGTCTGAAAGGAAAGAAGCAGGTTAGAAACTGAGGGAGTCTGCCACCAGAAGCCTGGCCCTGCAGAACTGCTAAAGTTCTTCAGGAAAGAGAGTATGACACAGATTAAGAATATAGATCTGTACAAAGAAATAAAGAACACTAGAAATGGAAGGCAAATTCTAACAGTCCTATTATTAATACAAGTAAAGACAGCTGTGTGTGACAGTAACTCAGCAGGGCACCAAGTATTCACAGCATAATACAAGCAAAATACAAAACATATAGCAAGAGTAACACGGTGGGAGAGAATGAAATGCAAGGATATAAAGTTCTCAGAGGACGTGGGGAGTACTATATGATTTGAAGATGCTTGGAGATCACTAAGTACCAGACAATACTGAAAATACTCCTAAAAGGAAAGCAAACAAGTAGGTAGAGAGATAAGAGAACCTTAAAGATGCTTTTTAAAATCAGAGAAGCAATGAAGAGAGACATGAAGGACAAGTACAACTGACAGGAGACAGCATACTCTAATTCAATTATGTCAATGTTATTTTAATGTAAATAGTAGAAAAATGGCAAAAATGTTTGCTAAAAGACAGATTCCAGATTGGAGACTTGTAGTTTACTTTTTGTTCTGGTAAACACCATGACCAACTCTCTTCCAGAAAGCCAAAGAGGAAAGATTCAAACTCATTTTGTGAGGCTAGCTTAGTCTGAAACCAAAACCAAACAAAAATGACACAAGAATAGAAAATATATGCTGATATTCCTGGAGAAAGTCACTTTTTAAATCCTTAACAAAACGGTTCCAAACCAAGTTCAAGATTACATTAAAAGTATCATATATAACAACAAAATGGAATTTACTTCAGGAGTGTAAGGACAGTTCAATCTATACACATCAATAAATGAGATATATCATTTTAGTAATAATAATTATTAATATTATTAATAGTAATAATTCTATGATCATCTCAATAGATGAAAAGAAAACAGTAGACAAAATTGAATATTCTTTCATAATAGAAAATTCTCAGTATATAAAAATACCCAAAGATGACTACATATGAAGAGCCACAGGAAACATCATATCCAACAGAGTAAGAGTACACAAATGAATTAACAGTTCTGAAACAGATTTTGAGACAGAGTCCAGACTAGCCTACATTTGAATTGACAGAGATAATGTTCAAGTTCAAATGTTCAGAGAGAATATTTGTAAGCAAACAAGATGGGATGTGTAAAAGATACCCTCCGGTCCTAGGCTAGAGCTGGAGATAGCAGTATGAGTTCACGTACATGTGTATGAAGGGATGGCTATAATCAGATGTCTATGCATGGCTTAACATATGTATATCAACTAGCTCTGTCTACCAATATTCTAGAATCAGAAATATCCCAGTAGTAACTTAGGACTCAGTGTCCAGACCTTCTTTTCCAGATACCATGTAGAATGAAGGAATCTTAAAAAATTCTCTAATTCTAGGGCTTGATGGTGAAACTATGAGATGAAAAGCTCCAGAAAGTAAGGTGTTAAGAAAGTGTAGAAAAACAGGGCCACATCTATGGAAACTAGAAACCAGCCTCAAAGAGCCAGCCAAAACCACAGTTAAAACAATAAAGTTAATAACGGTATTTTTATCATTCAAAGTATAAAATAAATATACATAAATCCAGTTATATAAATGATGACTAAATAAATAAATGCAGGAAGCGACCAACTTATTTATAGAGTTCTTAATATTCACTGTAGATAAATATGCACAGAGGGCATGGACCTGAACTGTACTTTCCGCTCGCCTTGAGAGAATACTGGATTTGATATATCAGAGGATAAAGTGTGAAAAGGGAACTGGAAACTACAGTGACGAAACTTGCCAAGCATTGGCTAACGCATCAAGTAGACATCAGCAGACATGCTTCTTCTGAGTCTCATGTACAATACTGCCATTCGTTTAGGAAGGAGTGAGTGCCACCGTAAAACCCCACTAGTGCAGAATAACTGTAAGAAAAACACTAAACACAAATGGAGGGACATTTTTGGACTTTTCAGACAAGTCATGACAGAAGAGGAAAGACAGAAGCTATCACAGCCCAGAGGGCTCTAAGGGGACAAGACAGCTTCAGGGATGTGATGCCTTAAAGTAGATCTTGATTATTCTTGGAGAAACAATGTCTGCAGTAATGTGCTCATGCTGACTTCTAATGAATGCTCCATGGTGATAATAGAGAGCATTAAATGAGAAAGCTATACAACATACTACTATCCTTACAGTTTTTTTTTGTAGTATGTATTAATACAAAATAAAGATTTTTTTTAAAGACTATCATTGTATATATAAATTATGCAGCCCTGAAGAATTCTGAATATACTCATGGTAGAGTCTAAAAAAGAAAAAGAGTTTAAAGCTATATATATCTTCAGGCAGACAAGGATCATTCTCTTAATAGAGAGAGGTGCACAGAGAAAAGGGCCCAAAGTAGACACCAAGATGCTTACAATACGAGAGTAGTTAATTCTTGGTGCTAAGCTCAGATATATTTTCTGTCTTCTTTGTATTTCTTAATTTTCCTCCAGTGAGCAGATATGAGAGACAGTTTTGTTACAGTATATGTTTTTAAAATGATTTTGTTTTACAGTAGTATGACCTCATTGCTCCATGATATGTTACACAGTGCTTTATCAAAAGTGGTCTTATAGTCAGATATGTATGTCTACTTTGGCATGTTGTATCTCTTTTCTGGAGACTCATAATGTCTGGTAGGATGTCAAAAGTTTTGGGAAGTCAGCTAATTAAGGAACTTTGTTTATCTTAAACAGCATTTTCCAAACCATTTGACTACTGAATTTACACTTTCTCAAAACAACTTACTATTTCAGGCACCACTAGGACAGCATGGGATATAACACATGTTGGGGAAATGTGTTTTAGAATCTCTCTCCAGTTTTTAAGGGAAGAAACAGCTGCTTTTAGATGATGTCTTATGTTGCTTTAGCAAAGGATGAAAATGCTTTTACTGTCTCCAAAATCTATGCGGGTTTTGCCTCATATGACTTCTTGACTCCTTTTATTCTGTGTAGCACCCAATAGACAATGAATACTACTGTATTTTCTCCACCAGAGAAGGTCATAGCTTCTCAACTAGTATTTAATAACTTGCTTTCCAAGTTACTCTGAAGCATATTTTCTTCTAATTGTTCATTGCTAAATTCACTTGATCGCCACATTTGCTGAGAGCATCCTATGCTCCAGGCATGCTGATGGCCAACACAATAATGAGTAGAGAGAGCACTAGCAACTGGCCTCAAGAGAGGCAACTGGCGGAAGAATCCACTAACCATCTTCTTCAGCCTCTTTTCCTCTCGTCTTCTCTCCAGCTGAGCTTCCTTTTCTTCTGCTTCCTTCTTTTGGCGTTCTTCTTCTTGGGCCTTTAGGTGAGCCTGAATGAGATCAGAAGACAGAAAACTCAGAACCCTTCCTCTGAGTGTGAAAGATCTCTTGTCCTGAGGCAGTCAAGCATCTACCAAATGCCTGTCCTCCTCCTGGACAATGCATGCATTTTGTGACAGGAAGGGAAGACTCCACCAACATGCTTTGTAGCTTGGAGGTCTCTCTGAAAGGACCTTCTCCTGCCTGGGAAGGGGATACTGCCCATGAATACAGCCACTCTACTTTCATGAGAAAAATGACTATTTTCAGTTTTTACTTTTATGTGTGAAGAGGAAGTCTGGTATGGGAAAATCTGGTTAGCCCACTCCAAATAGAACTGTTAATTGTTTCTTGTAGGTGCAAAATTTCCTTCTGACAGTCTGGATCAAACTTTGGAAGATAACTGCTGTCCTCTGCAATGTCATTGAGTCAACATCTGCCTAGCTACAGCGTACTAATCGTGTTAACCTGAGAACCTTCCAATCTGCTAGTTGACATTCACTTTTATAACATTTCCTCTCTGCTCTGCTAATGATGTTGAGTAAGCCCTTCCTTATTTTCCTAAAACTGAATTCAGAGGGGTAGGCCACAGCCTTTCTGAAGTTGTTCTCACCCTACTATCTCAGAAGGCATGGACACGCAAGGTTCCAGGTTTTGAAATCTCAAAAAAATTGCTTTTCTTGCCTCAGTTTGCATTCTGAATTTATTACCAATTTGTCTTCTTCTTGTTTTTTCTTCCTTTCTGCCAAGATCCGCCTACGTTCAGCTCGTTGAATTGCTCTCTCTTCCATGGCTAAAAAAATAGTAACATAGTCCCAATATAAAAAAAAAAAAAAATGAGGCACTCAGTAAAATAAATGTCTCCACATTTAGATTTACCATTAGAGTTTTCTTATACGTTGAGTGGTTTGATATATGGAGCTTACTTATTTAATGCAACAGGTTAAAGATCTAACATCAGCAATGATGAACAATATACATGCTCCTTATGTTTCTGTTTATATTTCTTTAGAATATATTTCTATTGGTTTAAATAAGACAATGTTCCTGGATGGTGGACTTTTAGTCTATGAAACTCAGAAGCCAGAATATATATAATATATAATATATATATATAATATATCATTGATAAACACATATATACAAGATATATATGTATTATAACACAATATTATAACACAAGATATAATATATCATTGATAAACACACAAAAACATGTAACTATAGCTAATGAGTATTTGGACAGTAGAATATTTCCTTAAATCTCACTTTAAGTGAGGCTAGTAATTTTTCTGAAGTCACTGTCCATGTGTCTGTACTAAGAAAGCTGAAGTTGGGGTCATGGTGAATATATTTCAGTGTACTTTTAAGACCCAGGCACCCAGATGGGCAGGAAATGGAAGTGAACCAGGCATTTGGAGAACTGGCATCAGAATGAATTTGAGTGTCAGACTCCTGTTCTCGACAGTTTATTAAATATCGATCCAAAAGAAACAAATGTGCAAGATGGTCTGATAATATGACTGTAATCAGTCAGGGCTGGCACAGAAGGGGGGCATGGGCAGCAGGAGCCTCAAGCTCTGCTCACAGAGCCAGCCAATGGTTACTTTCAGTTCCTCGGGCCGTGTTACAGAGAAAAGAATTTAAGTCCAAGTTTTAAGAATTAATAAACAAAAAACTCACCAAGCTATTTCCTACAGATATTAAATGTCTGCTCTGCCACAAAGGATTACAGTGGTGGTACCGAGGGGAGAGTGAGACTGTCCGTAAGGAGGTGGAAATAGAGTAGAGGATTAGCAGGGAGCCCGAGAAGCAGAGGCTCGGCAATGCAGCTCTTCCATCTTTTCTGATTGAATCATTAACTTTACTTGAAAAGGAGACTGGCATTTTAAAACAGCTAAGTCATTGACCAAACAATAATTTCAAAAACTTATCACAATGGACTGGACACTTCCTGGTCAGCCTTAGTGGTGGCATCAACTGCTGTCCTGCCAGATGGTTGGCATACAGACAACCAATCTCCTCATTGACAGGAACTGACTACACACAAAATGTCCTTCAGCTGTCATTACTTCTTGCTAGGGTGGCAAGTTTACCATAGGTTAAAAAAACTCAGACTTGTAAAACTCAGTGTAATTGTCAAAGTACTCACCACCATGTGCGCGATCTAGTCTTAAAGCATTATTTAGTTTTTGAATAAAGAGTGCCATGTGCATCTAAAATGCTACAAATTAAGCTATCTGGTTTATACAAAATCCTACTATTAAGACATAATGCATCATAAAATGACCGGATAACTTGACTTGAACTGGTATAAACTCTTCAGCATTTCGGCATTGATGACATATAATGGCAGATGAACTTTATCAATGTTTAGTATTAGCGGCTACTCAGGGTTTTCATTTGTGTAACCTCCCTCCTTTCCCCCCATAATACAAATCTCAAATTAGAGAAAAAAATACACCTTCAGAGATACCTTTCATAACTGTGTGTCTGTGTGTGTGTGCACATGTACACACACATGCATGTGTTACTTGTGGGTGGGCCACAGGAAATGACAAAAGGGAAAGAAAAAGAGTAGTGAGGGTTCCCCAGTGCATTCCATCCCACCCATGTCTACAAATCCTAGATTTTCATCAGGCTCTGCCAAGTCTCAAAGCTTAAGGAAGAGCTGTAAGCACTCAGTCCCAGACATATGCTACTCCGGTGGGAAAGGCAACTATGTGAAAACCATCAGGGCAGCCTTGCCTTTCAGTAAGGGATGGGGTGCTGTCGGCTTCATTGGGGTCCTTTTAGATGCAGAAAGAGAATTTCTGGAATCAGTTCTATCTTCACACCTAGGGGAAGGAATAGATGAATTGGAAGGAAATAAGGAGAAAAAGAAAAGAAAAAATGAGATCAATAACTAGCCTCCTTCACAGCTGAGGAACTCAAAGTGCCATACAAAGTTGAATTTAACCTGAGTTAACGATGCGTTATTATACAGAGACTAAAGTCGGTATAAGGAAGACTCTATGGTCATCCTGTCAATTCTCCTAACGACATTTCATCACACATACGGAGTATGTCTCAAGCATATCTGAAACCATCTTAAGTGACTTTTGGGGACATTTAGTCCCCTATTCCAATTCTGAAGATACAGTTTTACTGTGAGTAACCAAAACTTCAAATGAGGCAATTAGCCAGCCCTGGGGCCTGTGCTTGGCATTCATGTTGTCTGCCCTGTTTTCTCAGCATTAAACAATCAGAAAATCAGAAACATAGTTATGACAAGTATTTTTCTCTTTCCTGCATAATTACAAAGTTCCTCTCCTAGAGGCGGTCACCACCCAGTGCTCACTGTATAAGGGTATCCATCTAGGCAGCCATTTGCTTTAAATATCTATGTACCCCTGGCACGGGCAAGTCAGACTAGATGAGGGTTTATGCGTGTGCAGGAAATGTAAAGACTACAGAGTGTATAAGCCAAGCAAAGATATTCAGGCGCCTCTCCCTCTCAAAGGAAAACCCCTTCCAAACACGTTCAGAGAGTGCCTGACCCGTACTTCAGAAGCCTCTGGCAGGTTCCCCGGGGCTCTGCTGCTCCTCTGGGCTTTGGCTGAAGGCAGCCCTGTGCTTCTGTGCCTGCTGCGGCCCGCTCAGCTGCCCACCGTGCCTCTGCCAACCTCTGGTTTTTCTTCAGCTTCTGAATGGTTTTCTGCTGTTCCTCAAGTTTCTTCCTTTGCTTCTCAATCAGCTGTTGCTGGTAGACATGGTGGCAGTGGAAATGCCCCACACAAACTGGTTCTGTTACCTGGCTAGTGGTCCCAGGTTTTTCATGGTTCCCAGGCTGTTCAGAGGTCTCAGCACCTGGAGGTGGGGGCTGCTTGGGGCCAGGTGTGCTCCCAGAGACATTTGGGAGAGGACCCTGAAAATTACCCTTCGTTGTTATTCCTAGCGAATGGTTGAGGGTATAACCATTGCTCTCCAGAGGTGGCTTTTCCCACAAAGGGGACATGAGAGAGACCTGGGGAAAAAGATAATATTCTAACTCAAATACTAATGAGAGGTGATCCTGCCTTAGTATTGCTGTGTTCACTGGCACAACTGTGCTGCATCTCAGCAGAGCTGTCCTGCTCTCCAGGCCTGGGTAACTGACACACCTCCAGCCTTGGCGCTGTGAGCCATTCAGAATGTCAACAGGGCTCACCATGAAGTGTGAGTGGGAAGGTGGTCAGAGTTGTGAGAGCTGTTGTCATGGGCCAGGGCGTCTACAATGAGCAAGATGCTCTCTTAGGAATTATTTCTTTTGGTTTTATGAGACAGCATTTCACATAGCTCAGGCTGACCTTGAATTAATGATCCTCCTGCTTCCCCTTGTCAAAAGTACTGGGACTATAAGCATGTACCACCATGTCCAGCTTTCTCTTATGAATTTCTACAGTTCATTTTGTAACTAGGCAAGTTTGTTTCTTATAAAAAAAATTAAATGTAAAAACTGATTAAATTTTATAGAAGTCTGAAAAAAAATTCAAGAATGTTTAAAACTTCTTTAGATACTTGGAGGCTTTTCAAGTCTAAACATACGTATGAATGTATGTATATTATACAGTAATTTTTGTTTTGCACAGGAAAAATATTTTTTGCTGACTTTTTTCATTAAAAGGTAGCAACAGTAAGACCCTGGTAAGGAAAAAAAAATTCCTTTCAGCTATTTCTTAAGCTGCAACAGCTCTGTTCTTCCATGACCTGTCCTGCCTTTACTAAATCCAGCCTTAAGTAGACCACAGGTGTGAGTTATCTCAGCTCCCAGGTCTGACTTAGAGACCAGCCTCTAACTCTTTCCCAACCATCTGTTTTGGAGAAGCATCTGGAAAACAGGAGTAGGCAAGTTATCTGTACTATGTAAGAACAATTCTATGTAGATATCTTGTATTAGCATACAACAAAATACCTTTCAAAGATGTAAACTTCATTTATAATCAGGAGTCATATTTAATGACAAGTTATCTGGAGGGGAAAGAAAGAATCATTCCTAACCAGCAAAATTTCCCAAAATTGCTCCAAATTTGTGCCAAGTAAGAATGTCTCCTCTAGAATGTTTGAGTCCATGAGCTCTGGTCTGATCAGCTACTGATTCTGCCATGTGCAATGGCATAAGCAGGAGAAAACTGTGAGCCATCTAATGTCAGAAGCTTTTGGCACCAACAGCATGCCATCCTCAGGTACTGAAAAATATTTTTCATCATGATGGAAATGCTTTCTGAGACTAAGCTGAAGTGAGAGATGTGATACACGGAAACGCTGACATGTTAAAAGACTTTAAAAAATAACCTTTGATTTTAGAAATGTCAGTGGACATTTATTCATGAGAACACCTGCTTATGTAATTTAGCATCAAGCAGGGTAGATGTTTTAGGCTCTTTTAAACCTAGTGGTAATGACACGTTATTAACCCAGCAAGACTACGTAAAAGCCTTGAGTACAGCAACAGATTTCTTCTGTATCATGCTAACTCCCGAAGGTAGAAAGAAGAATGAAACAAAAGTTTAACTAGAAAATGATGGCACAACTTGGTCTAATCAGAGGAAGTCACCTATTAGCTAACTGATAATTCAAAAAAAAAAAATTTCAAGGTATAACATGCTCATTCTTGGCACTTGCATTCCTATGACTGTATAATTAGCTAGCATCTAACTGAAGGTTCTGTATTTTCATTTGCTCATATTTTATTGTATATTCCAGGAAAGATGGAGTTCATTTCTTGAACTACAAGGTCTATTTTAGTCCCTTGGTTTTTTTTGTTTGTTTGTTTATTTTTCCCATAAAATTAATTGCTTGATAAAACTTTTTCTTCTTCAGTTAAGATACTTGGAAGTTTTTTATTAAGTCTAAGCATATATGGAAATATACATAAGTATATTGTACAGTAATTTTTTGCTAACTTTTTTCATTTAAAGGTAACAACAGTAGAACTTGGTAAGAAAAAAAGGTTCCATTCAGCTATTTTTTAAGATATAAATTTTTTTCTGGGTCTCGGTAAAGACAAAATTATCTAGATGGTATCAAGGTAGATAAAGTGCCTGGGGAAAGGGCCCAAAATGTTGCATAAACCTCAATAAGCATTCTTATGATCCTTTCTGAGAGACTACACTTAAGTGAAAGCCAGCCTGCTTGCTCGAAGTCATCAGTGTATATAAAGCAAGGCTGAGACCCTCAGGTGCCCAATTTAATTTTATGTGCCTGAGTTATGTATGTAACAGCACTTTGAGCAAGGTGGAGGCAGAGGATCTTCTCCTAAGGCTTTCTAACAACACAAGTGCAACAAGGAAGAAAAACTGTGACCTCATAAAAAACGAACAGCTGGCCATAGCGCCAAATTCCAAACCAAACCAAAAAGGCAAATGACCAAGTGGACAAAACGTCTTCAACACACATGATAACGTAAGTACCAGTATTCCTGAAAGTATAAAGATCTCCTGTAAATACAGTGACATATACACAAGGAGAAAAACGGACAAAGGTACTAAACGGGTAAGTAGTATAGGCCTGCCTTTCTATATTCATATTTATATTTATAACCATATTAATATTTGTAGCCAATATAAGAATGTTTAAACTCACTAGCAATAAAAATATAAATGATGATGAAACAAAGATAAAAATAGAACATGCATTCTGTCTTAAAATATTTACCCCACCTAAAGCATTATGGATATATGTAAAGACTTAGCTACTACTGGGATGTTTAGTGAAACACTGTTTGAAATAGTGACACACTGAAATAGTGACAAACTTAACTTTCAGTCATCCATAAGTTAAACAAGTTCTAGCTTAGGTTTACTATAGACTGTCATGTAGGTGTTACAAAATGATGGTAGAGAATTGTAAACCATAGCCAGGGTCAGTATAAGGTTCATCTGCAGAACAACAGGACTGGTGCTCCATTCACAGAAATTCCAATTAGTAGGTCTAGCTCTGAGAGATACTTTTAATGAAGAAATATGGCTAAGGTATATTTAATAATGTAACAATGTCCATGTTCTATTTAGATTCTTCTATCAAATTGTCACAACTAGTATGAACAACTCTTAATAGAAAAAAGAAGTTAGAAATTCATTATGTCACAAGCTTATCCAAAAAGGAAATGTGTGACAGTCCAATAGGAACTTCAGACCCATCAACAGGGCTTTACTCCTCTTTTTCCAAAGGTCTTTCACTTAGTTGTTCTCAGTCCCTTACCAACTCCCAACTAGCCCAACGTTGACATATGACTAGTGACAAAGGATTCATGTCAAGAAAATAATCACAGCCTGGGTGATAACCTCTGTGCACTCTAGCAGCCCTAACCTTTGACCTTTGGATACCCTAGCCAGGGCACTTTGACTTCAGCTGTGACAGAAGTGTACAGCTCAGATGCAAATCCATAGTAAATCTGAAGCCCAAACAAAGGGAACAAAGTACCTCTCCACTTCCTACTGGCAGGTCCACCACGGCTGATGCCTCAGCAAGAAGATGGAGACCTGATGACCCATTAGAACTGAGTTTCCCAAGGGAGGCTGCCTTCAGCAGTTCTTCCATTTTCTTCCTCGTTTGCTCTTTTGCTACAGCCACCTCCCTCTTTATAACTTCTGAAGCATGCCAACGCTGCCATTCAGCAAAGCAGTATCGAAGAACTTGTTTCCGGTTAAACTCAGTAGCCAGCTGTTGTTTTCTAAGAGACAAAGCACTTCCATTAAAACAAGCCATTTATAGTGTTAGTTGATAATACAATTGAAACATAAGGACAAAGAAGTTCCTGAAATGCTCCATCTTATCATGTGATATTAAGTTAAGTGGAATTACTTTACATTCCTCAGAGCAGACTCTCACCAAAGGTGTCAGTACCTCAGCATTACCTTCAAGAAGCAAACATGACTGTATGTTCCCAATAAGACATATTCAAGTAGGGGTGGAAATCTAAGGCAGGTAGTTTAGGAGAAAACCCAATAACCTAACCACATCACTTAATGATGCCAATAGTGAGACTTATCAAAGTGTTACCCAAACTCTGGGGGTGATCTTGTTGAAGGCCTGGTTAGGGAGAGGATCACTGAAGAGGACTCATTCACCAAACCCCTGAATGGAATGAAGGACTGTGGTGAAGATGCTAGTAAGCACCAGGCACACGGATGAGCACAGGCCAGGCTCCAGCCCTGGTGGAACCACTCATTCCCTAAGAAAGAGTGAGCTGTTGGTTTCTGGTACTGTCCTAAACGTTAGTGAGCCTGGCTGGTTACAGCTGGGAGTGGACATTATTGATTTCCCTGTGGGAATCTTCCCCAAGAGACATCATGGTGGAAGCTGGTCAAGAATTCAAGCCTTGGGGCTGAGGAGAAGGCTCAGTGGGTAAAGTATTTGCTACACAAGTATGGGGACTGGAGTTCAGATTCCCAGAGCCCATGTAAATACCATGTAGGTATTGTGGCCTGTCTGTAATCCCAAAACACAGGAATGAAAAGGAAGGATCCTTAGAGTAAGCTTGCTCCCAGACCAGGAGAGCTCTGACTTCAGCAAGAGACCTGGACTCAATACCTTGGGCCTCTATCTGCACATGTAAACATCACATATGCAAGTACAACACACATACACACACACACACACACACACACACAGAGAGAGAGAGAGAGAGAGAGAGAGAGAGAGAATTCAAGCCTAGACATTTCTTATATCTGCCTACTGGGGGATATAAGTTATCATTCTAACCTTGGAACTTTCTATGTAACTGATTATGTGGACTCAGGAGATTTAAAATACAATATTTTAAATATAATTACTTATTTGCCTTCTTGATTTTATCTTGTAAATATAACTAAGTTCTCTATATACCTTTTCTGTTAAAAATTATATATGCACTCTTGAGTCCTATGAAAACCATAACCATTTAAATCAGTGAATATGGAGGATATTTCTATAGACTTTTTAAAAAGATTCATTTACTTTTGTGTACAACTGTTTTGCCTGCATGTCAATTACATATGTGGACCATATGCACACATGCAATACCACAGTAAGATTTCCCCCTAGAACTGGAGTTACAGAGGCTGTGACCCCCACATTTGAGTGCTCCAAACTGAATCCAGCATCAAGTACCTTAACTGCTGAGCCACCTCTCTAGTCCCCATTTCTATAGTTAAAAAAAATGTTTATATGACTTCTGACCTTCTCTGATGGTCACTTACAGTGAAAAAGACTGTAACTTAGTATGGAAGTTTTTGTGTAAACGTAAATGAAACAAAAGTATATATAGCTAAAACAAAGTTTCACCAAATAGTATTTCCTCTTGTTACAGAAATCACTGCTATTTCTATTCTAATTCAGCCTTGAAATACAAGCAACTCAGCTGCCATAGTTTCAACATATCTTCCAAAAATGTGGAGACTGAACTCCTACTGTAACAATATGAAGAAGTGGGGACTCAGAAGGTAGTGTATCTCAGTGTTCTAGTGCAAAAAAACCAAAAACCAAACCCAGCTAATCAGGCCACAAAGCCTGTGCCCCCAGGAACAGACTACTGCTCTGGTCTTGGATGTAGGTTACTGATGAGAAAGCATGAGAGGCCCAGTCTTACCTGCTCTGTGTGCGCTTGTTGGCCCTTGTCATGACAGTACTATGCTATGGATTTCTAAGCTCCCAGAACTAGGAACCAAATAAACTTCTATTGTTCATAAATTATTCAGCCTATGATACTCTGCTATAGCAGCAGAAAAGCGACCAGGACATCTTCCAACAGCATATGTCATTATATTTAATTGATCGTTATGCTTTGATGATGGTTGACAAATACTTAGTGACTGGTGGATAGTTTCTATAATAAAAGTACACTATAGGTCATAATAACTGTGTGGTATCTATAATGGAAATAAGCATCTAATGAGATTGACTTTGATATAATTTTTAGAAGAGGCAGTAAGTAAGTTAAGTAGCAGGAACTAAGGCAGGAACTAAGCTGCAAAAGCTAAATAGGGAGACAAACAAAAGGCCCCTAGTTTTCTCCAGTGAGTAAATTCATAAATTTTAGGATAGAAGATGCATGTTGCTGAGTCCAATTAACATGAAATCCAATTTACATCATGAGTATGAGAGGTTCCTGGTGTGCCAGTATCACTTTTATAGCATAAACAGCCCAAAGCAGCATTAGGCTTTTGACCATCAGTTAAATTCTTTATATATAATGAAAGACAAAGGGAAAACCATCTCTATAACTACATCAAGACTAAGAAAGTAGGAAAATGAGAAGAAAGTCATGTTTGTTCCAGTGCTGAGAGCCTACTCTATTATGGCTGCATGGGGGATTTGGAGTGCAGTCACAATTTCCCTGTTTGCCAGCTAAAATGGAAGGGCAGAAGACAGACACTAGGAAGCCAGAGCGAGGCTGTTTCCATGCCTGCTGCTTCTCACAGTGACAGTGTCCCATATGAACCAACTTCTATACTTAAAAAAAAAAATCACACTAAAAATGTAGCTAGTTATGAAAGCGGGGTGAAATCACCTCAGTTTCGTAAGATCTTAGTGAGAGGCAATTGCTTAGGTAAATTCATATGAAGAGAAGGCTCAAGACACAGTTCCCAGATAACTATAAAGAAGGACAGGGTGCCTTATGGAAAACAGCCTGTCCCAATATGTGTGTGAGCTAAATCAGAACATTTCTAGCAAGAAGAACGTATAAATTGATCATCATACTTACATAACTGCCTGCAAAGAAAGGCTGTCTCTGTATGCCCAAGAGCACAACCAGGAAAGATTTAAATAGGACTTCAAGTGTGCTCCAGGCTGCCCAGGGTCAACACCTCTAATACTGCTTTTAGTGAGAGGTGTGCACTCTAGACCCTCAAAGTCAGGAGAGCAGCAAACAGATCTGGGGTCGGGGGCAAGTGGCTGACAGTCTCTGAGCTGCAGATTCACCCTCAGTAATGCTACTGAGAACTCTATACTCCTTAGTCTTCAAATAGTTTTTTAAAAATTCTTTTTGTTACCTAAATAAAACAAAATCTAAAAATACAGAATGGAATCCATATATAAAAGTAATAATGCTATCTTACTGCACATTGAATATCTAAACTGTAAAATCTAAAACATGCTGGATATCTAAACCATGTCATAATTTTTACATTGTTTTTGGTGGGGGTTACAAAGTGGGCATGTGGAGGTCAGAGGACAACTTGCAGGAGTCCGTTCTCTCCTTCTACCATGTGGGTCCTGAGAATGGAAATCAGGTCATTAGGTTTGATGGCAAGTACCTTTACCTTCCGAGCCATTTCGCTGGCCCTGTGTCTTGAATTTTTCAAAAGGGAATGGGAGAGGATAAATATCCACAAGCCAGCTATCTGACTAAGTGCCAAAATGGGATGCAGAACATAAAAACAGCAGTGACGGGAGCAGCTGCATTTGGGATGCACAGGTTCAGCAGCAATAGGAAAGAAGATCAGCTAATACATTCAACAGCGCACTAGGAAAGCCCCCAGGGACACAGGGAATAAGACAATTTTGTCTAAAGAGTTTTTAAAGTGAGCCCAGCAGTGCTAGTCTGGTTCTCTGAAAGATCTATTACGGGCTTCACCAGATGCACATGCCAAGTGGCTCTGACCAATCACCTGGGAACCCAGGTGACTGAAGACAGGAAGGCAATTGAACACGATTAATAGAAGTGCTTTGTGTATGATCCTCCAAAAAAGGCTGAACCCAGGAGTGTTGGAAATGAAGAATTATGGACAGTCAAGGATTATAGGAAGTGGGGGCTTGGGAAATGAAAGAGAGAGAGTTTAAGGCATGTTCAGGCAAGGCCGGGGGCCTGGTGTGAAGATGGCAGCATAGATGTGGAAGGTGCCTAGGTACAGCCTAGGGCAGCTGCCCCCTAGGAAAGACCAGAGAAAGTAGGGAGAAGAGCCCCAGACGATACTGAAAACAAGCCCAGCTTATTCTCATCTTTCTGTAGAGCTGACTAAAAATTCAAGGAAGAAGGGAGAGAGAAGTAATAGCCGTGGTACCAACCTGTGAAAGTGAATGTGCTAAGGAAATTGAAACCGTTAAAATTTTGATACCATAGCAGAGCTGTAAGTAACAAGGGTTCTGTTGTATTACCTCAGCAAATGAATCTGAAAATGTTTGTTATGCTTAAGTTATATTGAAATTTAAGAAAACCATTACTTACAATAACCATTTTTTTAATCTTACTTTTTTGGGAATAGGTCTCAAGTAACCTAGGCTGGCCTCACACCTCCTGGTCATCCTGCCTTCTCCCAAATGCTAGGATCACAGCATGCAACATCACCCCTAATACAATTGCTACTTCTGAAAGAAAAGAGATGGATGGAAATAGAACGACCACAATTCCTATTAGGGAAAGCAAGATGCATTTGTAGAATAAGTGCATGAACCATTGGAGTGAATAGGCTCAGACAGCAGAGGAGGTTACTAAATTATGAATACAAAGAGAGGGGTTTGTTTAGAGAGAAAGTGGGAAGAACAGAAGAGAGTTCATGAGGCTGGGCCTTGCATTGAGAAGAGACCATGAAGAGACACCTTAGGGTACAAAACCATTGTGGCTACAGAAACACGGGATGCGGACTCAGCTCACATCTGAATAGACAAGGGATTTCAACAGCATCCTGCCATGAGCTACAGCACCCTCTTTGTCCTGTCCATGAGCGAGCAGTAACTTCCCCCATGAGTGACCACTCTACCTACTTGCACTCACCTATCCTTGTGGCTCAACAGAGCATAAAGACTCCATCCAGTTAGACTGCAGGAGAGGAAGCAAGTGAGGCTTCCTTCACTAACTGGCTCACTTATCACCTGTAGTCAGAGAAACCCCAGAGGGCACAATGAAGATGGCCCAGGGTCTAAGTTGCCTAAAACAGTTTCTAGAACAATACACAACATGCAGAGAGCTGGGGACACAGGAATTAGCATGCACAGCGAATTCCTTCCCACTGTTTCTTAGCAGATCTGGCACTTGTTAACGACCGCTCCGAGTTCTTCACAATCGAAAGCATGGCTGGCTAGAAACCACACCTACAATGCTGTTTGGCTTAACTGGGAAGCAGTATTGTCTGGCAAAGCCATCTGACTCGGAGTCCCAAGAACAAGGCTTTTGTCTCACACTCACTTGATGTGGCTTGTGGGAGTCACTTCTCCCTGGGCTTTTGTTTCCTCATCTGTGAAATAAGGGGCTGAATCAGACAATCCTAAGGTGCTGCTCTAGGATATAAAATATATATATATATTTCTAAAGCTTTATAGTAAAAAAAAGTATTATAAGTTAAATATTTTCTAACTTCAGCAGTTAAAAAAATTTTAGTACCCATTCTGAACACTTAAAAATAGATACCTGAAAATAACTCAGATACCAGACTAAAAGTTCTGGGATCTTAAAAAAATTGCACATTATACTATTATGAAATCTCCGTTTAGTGATTTTATACTTAAACTGTTTAATTGGAATGGAATCCTGAGTTCTCCAGACTTTTCTTCTCCAAGCTTCTCTAGCATGCAAATCTTACGGATGGCTTTTAACTTTAACATTTCACTTTCCACTCTATGCCCTTCCACTGTCTCCAGTTTGTGTTCCCTACCAAGCAAACCCTCCCATCACTCAGTTTTCAATAAACTGTCACCCAGTCCACACAACAATCATGAGGTCCAGGGATTCCGGAAACAGATTAAAAGAGAGTTTTCTCCATTGGCCCTTTCTCTGACATGTTCCCCCGCATAAGGTACAACAGGGTTATCCGCCTGCTTGAAAAGCTTTAGCAATTCATCTTATAACCAACTAATACCGGGGTTTAGGTATTAAACGAGGTATATAAAGCTTCCCATGGGTGCTGGCAAGGCTCAGTGGATAAGAGCACTTGCTGCTCTTTCAGGGGCTTCAAGTTCAGTTTCTGCAACTGACAGGGTGGCTCATGACCATCTGTAGCTCATTTCAGGAAATCCAAAACCATCTTCTGGCATACACAGGCACCAGGAATGGACATAAATACATGCAGACAGAACATCCACACATGTGAAATAAAAACAAATAATCTTTTAAAAGGTAGGGAAGACAACTGACGAGATAGCTCAGACATCTTGGATTTGCTTTCCAGCACTCACAGGGTGGCTCACAGCTGCCCATTAACTCCAGTTCCAGGGGTTCTGATGGCCTCTTATGGCTTCTATGGGCCTCTGCAAATATATTCATGTGGGCTCACACACAAATGCACAAATGAGAGAGAGAGAGAGAGAGAGAGAGAGAAATAAAGAAAGAAAATAAGCAAGCACTCAAGTAAACTTGCTTCTCAAACACTGGTGGACTATCAAACACATGTTTGACTATCTCCATCCAAACCAGATGGATTTCTACACAGGGTGTTCTGTGAAGCCTGTTCTATACAAACTGAGGCACCTACCTGGCCAGTGACATTTTGCTCTACTGTGTTCTCAGCAGCAGAAGGGACCATACTCCTCACTGTACAATACTGCTGAACACCTACACTGTCTCTAGATACTGTTTTCCTCACATAGCTGAGCTCTTAGGATATAGGCCATGTGCCAAAGGCCTACATAACCTGCCGAGGTCTGATGCCATCATAGGGTTGCACAGCTATGCCTTTCAATATAACTACTCTTCTACATACTATTCACTTAATTTTTCATCCTGAATGAATGAGAATTGTCAGTAATGATGACACATAAGAGCGTAATGGTTTCTTCAACCTAGATGACATTGATTCTGCAATAAAAAGGTGATGGGCTGAGAGTGTGTAGCCTAATAGTAAAATATGAGTTTAGCATATGAAAAAGCACCATAAAGCAATCAAGCAACAACAACAAAACAAAAATCTCCTCTCTCTCACACACAAACAGGATGTAAAGTCAAACTTGGAAATGAAAAGATAAAATGGATTTCCTTTTAAGAGAGTGAAATAAAGAAGAGTTGACAATAAATTCTGTGTGACACAGCGCCAGCAGAGCGACCTGATATGAAAGCGTCAGAACCCTCTAAACAGGGTACAGAACCAAAGGCAGCAGCGTGGGAGGAATCGCTGTCGGCAGGTTGGCCCTCCCAGATGGATGTTCCCTGCGTCCTTAATTAACATTCTGTGTGCAGACAGTGATTCTATCAATGAGAATTATTGGCATGTAAACTGAACTCCCTCTTGAGAACTGTGAGATGGTACACGGTAGAGCGCTGTTCGTCAGCATCAGAAGCCCAGTCCTTCCTTTACAGAAAGGGAATGGGCTTCATCTGTACATTTTAATCAGATAATCTGCTTTACTTCTATTTTTCAGCTACATCTTTCTAGCTGGGGATGGCATAGGAAAACACCACTGTATCATAAGATAGAGTGGGCAGCATTTCTGGAGTTGAATTTTGGGCTCTTTAGAAGGAAGATACCCTCGATAAGCACACATCGAGTCTAAGTAAATAATGGTACCTGTTCTCTTCCCTAAGGTCATTTTCCAAGGCTTGAGTCTCCCGCTCCACCTTCTGGGATCGTGTGTGGTCTCTCCAGGCTCGCAGAACCTTCAGTTGAAGCTTCCAGTCAGACAGGGTCCCCGCTTTCCCCAGCTTAATCCTATGATCCAGTATCAGCTTATGCCAGGCAGAAAAATACCGTTTTTGACACTGAAGTGGAAAGATTTGGAAAATCACTACCAATCAGCTTTTGTGTTTCAAATATGCAACACTGACAACCCTGTCCTCAGATTTTCCCATCACACTTTTCCACACAAATCTATTACCTGGGATTCTGATGGAATGGAACAACACTAAATTCTTTCATGCTTATAGGAATAAGAAACACTTAAGTTAGGCATCAGAGGCACCCACAGCTTCATGACTTAAACTAAAATACTTAATTCTCACTACAAGGCACTGGTCTTGTGGTAAACTGGGATAGCAGATCATACCTTAGACATGAACTAGCGGCCTTGAGAAGCTTGAGAGATCTGCTTCCAACATAACCTGCCTTGCTGGGATATCTTGGAGCTTCAAATACTAAGCCTTTAGTAGAGTCCTGTCTCGAGCAGCACCCATGTCCTATACAAGTGAACATGGGAGTTCTCAGGGAAACAGATGGGCCCTTTGTTTCTTGAAAACAGGAGAGATAAAAATGATGAGTCCACCGGGGCTACCACTACTCATGTTATTAGGGTTTTGATGAGTAGGCCTAGAGATGTCCAGTCCTCATGTGTCTATGTGGGCAACAGAAAATTAGACAAGGTCTACCAACCCAAAGTCCCCAGAGTGTACTTCACTCATGATCCAGGTCTAAGGAGAAAAATCACTGACACCCAGTCCTTGTCTATATATTCTATTCTCATTAAAACAAAACAAATAAAACATCAAACATTCCGCTCTTTCTAGATCTACTGTCATGTCTTAGCCTCAACACCAACCTCACTCTGCCATACTTCCTTTCTACCTCTTCACAGTAACTTCTCTGTCCTTTTCCTCCTGCCCCTTCTCTGTGTACTTCAGGATTATTTCCCACAAAGAGTTCTTCGGCCACCTCTTCCCTCTCCTCTCACTATATTCCACAGCAAGCTTTGTATTCTTCAGCTAAGCACTTGCCACACTTTAGTTTCCTGATTTCCATGAGACCGTGGGACTCCTGAGAGAAGGGAATGGGACTCCTAACTGGGAATCCCTAGGTGTGAGATCCAACAAAGGGCACCATCACAGGAAGGATCTTTAATGGAAGGCTGGGTTTCAAAGACTTCAGACTAACTGCTTTCTTCTTTTAAAATATTTAAGGGATGCTGTTTTAGAATTTACTACACATCTGCCACTGTATTTCAGTTTGGGAGCTCTAAACAGTGTTCTTGAAGAAACAATCTTACTTTGGGAAGGTTATAAGGAAATATGAAACAAATAAAAGATGGGCCAGTGAGACGCCTCATCTGTAAAGGTACTTGTCCTGCAAGCCTGATAACCTGAATTCTATTTTCAGAACCCCAAAAAGAGAGAATTGACTTCAAAAAATTGTCCTCAGTGCTAGTTTGTTTTCTGTTGTGACAAATGCCACAAATGAAAGCAACTCAGGGGAAGAAGGGGTTTATTTGGCTTACGCCTTACAGCCCATCACTGAGGGAAGCCAGGACAGGAACTTAGGCAGGATCTTGGAGGTAGGAACTGAAGGACATGGAGGGATGATACCAACTGGCTTCCTTCCCGATTCCTATTCAGCTGTCTTTCTTACACAGGCATGCTTCCCTAGGGATGGTACCGCCCATAGTATGGTGGGCCCTCCTACATCGATCAATAATCGAGAAAAACGCCTCATGGACATGTCCACAGCACATTTGATGGAGGCGATTCTTCAAAGTGTTTCAGGGTGACAACAAAACTAAGCAGGACATGCTGCCTCTGACTTAGATATGTCCACCCACTTACATTATGACACACATAACAATAATAAATAGCTTTAAAAGATCAATAAATACAAATAAAGTTCACTTACATGCTAGAGTTCTTAGAAATATACTACTTGGACAGAATTCTTTTTCTATACAGGATATCAGTTACATTCCCATTCAGATAAACACAAAGTGTTATAACATCTCATCAGGAGAAACCATGAACAACCTAAACAAAGCCTTTATTCCCTTTATATCACTTCCAATGAGGACATGTTTTCTAAACTCTCAATTCAAATCCATTGGGAGGACATAAGGAAGGGAGAAAGGATAAGGATGGGAGGCAGAAGAGAGAAGAGGAAAGACTTGCTGTACAAAGGGTTTGCCTTCACCACAACAAGGGGAAACAGAGCTTCCAGGCTGAGGGGTTTGCTTTTCTCTTTCCCATTATTATTTGCTTCTCTATCTTACAGAATATAGCATCTTAAAAATGTTTTTTTAAGATTTATTTATTTAATTTGTATATGTATGAGTATTTTGCCTACATGTATGTTTGTGCACAATGAGGGTGGCTGGTTCTGAAGGAGCTCAGAAATAGAAAATGGATCCCCTGGAACAGGAATTAAGGGTTATAAAGAGCCACCATGTGGATACTGGGAACCAAACTCAGGTCCCCTGAAAGCACAAGTACTCTTAACTAATAAGCCATATCTCCAGCCCCAGAACATAGTATGTTGTTAATAAGTGCCACTATCAAAAGAAAATAGCCTGGATCAATTTATCAGATTCACTAAGATTTTCCTCGAGCTGGGGATGTAGTTCAGTGGGAGCTCTTACTTAGCATGTGTAAGACCCCGGCTTCAAGTCCTAGAATCACAGAAAGAAAAACAAAAGGAGAACAAATTCCTCTTGATTGGCTTGGTGAAATATTCTATGCTTATCTGTATTGAGTTTCTCAACTCCTGGGTCATATTTTATAGTGAAATAGTGCAAACACAATCCAACTTGATAATCTCTGTAATTTTTTTAAATTTTTGTTTTATGTGTACGGATGTTTTTCCTGCATACATGTCTATATACCACTTGAGTGCCTGGTGTCTGTGGAGGCCAGAAGAAGGTGTTGGCTCTCTTGGAGCTGGAGTTACAGATGTTTGTGATGTTTGTGGATGCTGGGAGCCTGACCCAGGTCCTGTACATGACTGGCTAGTGCTCATAACTGCTCACCATCTCTCCCATTCATGTCCTTGGATTTTCATGTGCCTCTTGATATAAATGAAGTTCAAAGTAACTTCTATGTACTATTGTACTCTTAACTGTCCATTTGTTTGTTTATTGGTGCTAGAGATCAAACCCAAGGTATGCACATAAGCAAATAATATATAACTAGGCTACACCCCTAGCCCTTTATTGATCTATGGTGTACTAGTTTATTCATTCTTAGATCACTGTGATAAAATAGAAATTTTAAGTATTCTTATCATTTAGTTCATTGAATTAAAACTTTAAATAGAGAAAGGCTAATGACTGAATTCACAAAGTAAAGCATTAGTGCTAATTCCAAGGCCAAAACTCAAACATTCTGGCATCCTGGTGATGCCTCTAATCTATGGGTAATTAATCTATCCTAACAGTGGAGGGCATGTTCTCTGCTTTGAAACTGAAAAAACAAACAAACAACAAAAAACAATAGAAAAACCTACACACAACTTACCATGGTAGAACAGCATCTTCTAGAAACTACCTGAATTTAGGAGAGCAAGGCTAGTCTTTATAAACTCTGTAGTTAACTTGTTCCTTTAGAATCCCAGGGTTAAGACGGGGTGGGGAGGACTAGCAAAGAAAGGGTAGGAGGTCAAGGGTCTGGAGTAGGCCCCACTGTGCAGAAGCTAACAACAGCATAGTGACAGGCGCCTGGAGCACTGCTTTGTTGAAATAAGCTTGCTATTAGGCCTTTTCCTCCTGCTTGCTCAAAGCAATCTCATTAATATTTAGATTAAAGAATAAAGAATGAATCAAAGATAGCTGCTTAGTTATTCTTGATGTGTAGTAAACATTACTTAGGTAAACATGAGTCTTATAAATGTGCTTGAAGAAAACACTGGAGAAAGGAATATACTCTCAGTCCTCTCATTTAACTTAGAAGGGACAAGAAGTATCATGCTGCCACAGATAGCATCCATTTGTTCCCTTCACTCTGATATTTGTCACTTTTCTTATTGCTGTGACAACATTCTTGGCAAAAGCAATTTAAAGGAAGGTTTATTTGGGCTCTAGGTTCAAGGGCACAGTTTATCATGGCAGGGAAAGGTGACAGCTACAATGGTCTAGCAGGTGTGGCAGTGTGAGGCGGTTGGCCACACTGTACCACAACTGGGAGGCAGAGAGGGATGACTGCTGATCCAAGCTCGCTTTGTCCTTTTGACTTGGTCTGGGACAGTCCATGGGACAGTGCTGTTCACATTCAGGATGGGTCTTCCCTCCTCCAGTAAACCTCTCAGCAATCCCTCCCAGGTGGTTCTCAGGGTGATTCTAAACCCAGGCAAGGTGACAATGAGGATTAAAGGTCACCCTCCGCATCCCCAGTAAATTGCCTGCTGCTCCCAGATCTGTTTCTCCTGATAAGGTCACAGTCCAGAACTACAATGGTGCTCTAGCCCTTTGCTTGTTGTAAGGAGAGCTATTTAAAAGCATGCTTAAATTGGAAGAGGAGGTCATTCTGGTCAAGCCAGGAGAACTTGAAAGTTTTCCTAGCCACGTAACCAACATGACCTCTCTCCATTTCTTTCTTACTGCACTTGTTTCTGTATTGGGTTTGGTTGTTGATGGTTTCCACATATAATCATATGCTCTCCCCCTAGCTTTTACCATGTCTTTATTACAGCTGTACTGATAGGCTTGATACAGTAAATGAACCAGAGAAAATCACTGTGGGGATGAACTGTACCCAAGTATGTATCTATAATAATTTTTCAAATACAATACTACAATGTGAGAGAAAGTTTTAAAGTGAAATGCTGTCTTTCCCTTAAAAATCTTCCACAAGACAGCATTTAGTTTTTAAGGATTCCACTCAAGAGAAGAAATGACAGCCCACCCTGCTAAATTTATTACCTGCACTGGAGTTGCCCTCGTTTTGTTGGCAAGAAAAGCTCTTCCCTGAAGTGTAATCACACTGCTGTCACTGCAGATGATTGACACTAGGTGGAACAGCAATTTGCTATCTAATCTTCATTGTAATTCTAACCCTGTCACTAGAGATGCTTGTTC